TTTTTTTTTTTTTTTTAACATTTATTTTATTTTATTTATTCACTCATTTATTTTAATTTGACGAGAGAGAGAGAAAGTGAGAAAGCAAGCCACCAGGCCTGGAACTTGAACCATGGTCGGCCATGTGGGAGTGTCCAGTACCTTAACCACCACGCCACTTGCTGGCCCCCCTGGCGTGAGTTTTAAGCCTCCAGGTCTGGGACTCAAACTGTGGTCGACTACGTGGGAGTCCAGCAATGTAACCATTATACCATCTGCTGGTCCCCCAGAATGCCTCTTCTTATTACTTACCTCAGGGCAGCCTTTTGTCAGCTTTCTCTTCTGAAGCTCAGAGTAGATTTTTTTTTTTTTTTGCAAGATACAAAGTTCATATAAGATTCAGAATGAATTCTTAAACAGTTCCTATAGAGAAGCCACTGCACATAAATATGATAAAAGAAGGCCATCCAGAGTGTCAAGGCTATGGTGGCAGCTCTGTCAGATCCTGACCTCTGAGTCAATGTGGAATGAATTGCTTGCATTTTTGAAGCATATTATCCATGAATATTCATTATTCTTATGGGAAAGTGTAGTAGAAAAGTGATGACTTCACTCGAGGCAACACATTACAGGGGGCTTATAACCTGTTGATTTTCTTCTTTTGGGTTTTTGCTACAGGGCGTGTATACTTGTTGGACAGAGACAGAGAGAGTCAGAGATAGATAGAGGGACCATCTCCTGGGGGGCATGGCCACACTGCAATTCTTCTTGGTATTTTGGGCACATACACATGTGCATGATGTGATTTTCAAGCTGCCATGCCTGGGACTTGAAACATGGTCAGCCATATACAAGTCTATCACCTTAACCACAATGCCACTTGCTAGCCCCAACCTACTGATTTTTTTTTTTTTTTTGAGAGAGATTTTTGCTATTGGGTACTGGTGCTCAGCCAAGAGACAGAGAGACAGAAAGTGAGAAATCACCCCCTGAGGGGTTGACCATGCCACAGTCCCTTCTCCATTTTCCTCTTGGGATTTTAGGTGTGCATGTACACTTACCCGGCATAAGCTGCTGGGTCCAAGGCTCAAAACACAGCCGACCACATGGGAGTCCAGTGCCTTAACCACTGTATCACCTACTGGCTCCAGACTTGTTGATTTTTAAGGTCATGGAGGAATGGTGGTGAATCCTTTGGGGAGTCAAATTACACTTACAAAATATTTGTTGAATTTTCCCATTATATTTCCTACCCTAACCCATATCTTCTGAATGGATTCCCATTTGATGCTTTCTGGAGTGTTGCTAAAACTTTGTCATCTTAGTGGGAGGATCATTCTCATATGGAGGTATAGAGACCTCTCAAAGAAGTCAAGGGAATCTATTTCCTTATGAGTAATTTGGTGTATTGTCATTGTCAAAGTAAGAAACAATTAACTTGGGAATGGAGGTAAGATTCTGACTCATTAGTTCTCTGACTTACTAGTTATTTTTTCTTTCTTTTGTGAATGACAAAGACAGAGAGAGAGAGAAAGAGAGACAGAGAGGCATCCCCAGTAGTGTCTCCATGGTGTGACTCCCGGCCTCAGCCAATATCAGATCATAGGCACATGTATGGCTGGCATGCTCAGGGAGGTCTTGGGATGTGAACCTCGGACCTTCCCATGTATATCAGCTTCACAGAGCACTGCACTCCTGCTGTGTTACCATCCTGCTTCCTCATTTTTTTTTTAGAGAGATTTTTGCTATAGGGCATGTGTGCTTGCTGGAGAGATAGAGACAGAGAGCCAGAAAGCAAGAAATCACTCCACAAGGGATGGCTACGCTGCAATCCTTTCTCCCCATTCTCCTCTTGGGATTTTGGGCACACATACACATGTACCCTGAGTGAGTTCGAAGCTGCTGTGTCCAGGACTTGAACCGCAGTTGACTATGTGGGAGTCCAGCAATGTAACCATTATGCCTTCTGCTGGTCCCCCTCATTAGTTTTTTTTTTTTTTTTTAAAGGGTTTTTTGCTCTAGGGCTCGTGTGCTTGCCAGAAAGACAGAGAGAGAGAGAGAGATAGAAAGTGAGAAATCACCCCCCCCGGGGGGGATGGCCATGCCACAGTCCCTTTGCCTCCATTCTCCTCTCAGGATCTTGGGCACTCATGCACACGTACCCAGCATGAGTTTAAGCCAATGGGTCTGGGACTTGAACCGCAGTCGACCACATGGGAGTCCAGCGACATAGCCATTACACTAACTGCTGGTCCCTCCTCATTAGTTTTTAATAGAGGGCAGTAAGGATACTGGGCATTATTAGGGAACATAACCCAGTTCTCTCCCTTTTCCCTGTAGGTACGCAGCTAAGACTGGATGCCATCTTTGCCCTGCCTGGGGTTCTACAAGATTCTCTCATGGCGAATTCTTGATGGATTTTACTCTGAGTTCTTGGCAATTCCTGGGCACGAGAAATGGCTGTGCCCAGACTGGGGCTCGGAAGGCAGAATTTTCTTCCATTAAAGAGGAGGAGCGCATTGCTGTTGAAACTCATCGCTGTTGTCTTTGCTGTGCTCCTATTTTGTGAATTTTTAGTCTATTACGTAGTGATTTTTCAGTGTAACTGGCCTGAAGTGAAAACTCCAGCCTCTAGAGGTGACCAGGAGACTCCTGAACCTGTACTGAAAGCCATGTTTTTGGCTGATACCCACTTGCTTGGGAAAGTGAGAGGCCACTGGCTAGACAAGTTACGAAGGTAAGGACTCAAGGGAGGAAGCCTTCTGAAATTCACAGATTGGACTTCATGGCTTCGGGTTACTCTTTGCTATTTTCCTCCCCAAAAAGGACAGTTGGGGCCATCCAGGTAGTCTGGTGGTTAAGGTGGCTGGATCCCACATGGCTGAGTGCATGGTTTGAGGCCTGGACCTGGCGGATTGGGAAATATGCTAGGTATGTGTGTGTGCATGCTAAAATCCTGTGAGGAGGGTGGAGGAGAAGAGTTTGTGGCAAGGCTATCCCCCAGAAGGAATGACTTCTCCCTTTCCCTCTCTCTATCTCAATATTTCTCTCTCCCTGTATCTCTCTGGTGAGTGCATATGGCCTATAACAATAACAAACCTGCTCCCCTCTCCAAGAAACAAAACAAAACTAAAGTAAATAAATAAATAAGTACATAAATAAAAAGGACAGTGGGGGGGGATTCGACTTTAATTCTTTAAACTTACTATTTATAGTTATTGAGCATTTATTATACATGAGGAGACTCCAGAAAGTTTGTAGAAAAAGTATGACTTTATTTTGTTAAAAAAATGGAACTTTGTGCATATTTTTTCATGATTCATATTTTCCATGAACTTGTTGAAGCCTCATTGTGGTTTGAAAGTCATCATTTGGGAGTCACATCTGGGCCTCTGATCAGCTCCATGACTGGACAGGTCAGCAGGGCCCCTCTCAGCCCTTGCTCCTTGTTCGTACCTGGGCTGATGGAAGAAACCTCCCGGCTATGTGACGACGCCTGTGCAGTGCCCAGCCTTGGGAGTGGTCCCTGGGCAGGGGAAGGACATGGTCTGGGTTGCTGGTCCCCTCTCGCCTCGGCTGGTGTATGATGCTGAGCCTGTACATTGTCCCCTCCTCTGGCAGCCAGAGGAGCAGAGCTGATTGTGGTTTCTCCTGGGAGGGGCCAGTCCTGCCTCCCCAGGGCAGCCCTGCCCAGCAGAGTCCACCTGGTTTTCCACCTGAAAGCTTTTCCTGTTTCTACTTATTTTTAATTGTGATAAAATATGTATAACATTAAGTATCATCTTAGCCATCTTTTCAGCTAGTTTTTTAAAACTTTATTTCTTCTATGAAAGAGAGAGTGACTAAGCTCTCCCGACAGGGTCATCATGCCCTGATCCATCCCAGCCTCAGCAGACCAGGAATTGAGGGCGTGTGTGTATGCACTCCGTGTGTGTACGGGGAGACCTCAGGACACGAACCTGGCACTCTCATATGGCTTCAGCATCATGGAGCATTGCACTGCTGCTGAGCCATCACGGTTGGCTATCTCAGCCAGTTTTTAAAAACAATTCTGTTTTGTTGTTCCTGGTAGAGCATTTGAACGAATGCGAGAGAGAGCAAGAGAGAGAGAGAGAGACCAACCTTCACCGGGTCTGGTTGTGCATTGATACCATTCCTCCAGTCCTTTAGCTTACCAGGATCCTGGATGTGAGTACACTTGCCCAATGTGTTTCAGGCTGACTGGGCCGGGGACTCAAACTGCTGCTGTTGGCACATGGCTTCCAGCTCCTCAGTTGGTATGCTACTGACCGTACCACAGAGGCTAGGCCCTTAACCACTTTTAAGCATACAGTTCCCTGGTGTTACGTACTTTACATAGTTGTGCAACCATCATCACCATCCATCTCCAGAACTTCTCCATCCTCCCAAACTTTGTACCCATTAAACACTTAACTCCTGGCAACCACCATTCTCCTTTCTGTCTGTGAATTTGACTACTGTAGATCCCTTACATAAGTGGAATCATACAGTATTTGTCTGTCTGTGACTAGCTTATTTCACTTGGCATAAAGTCCTCAAGGTTCATCTGTGTGGTAGCATTTCAGAATTTCCTTCCTGATCGGGCTGAGTCATACTCCGTTGCACGCATGCACCACGTTCTGCTGACTCACCCTCTGTGGATGAGCACTTGGGCTGCTGTGACCGGAGTCTGCCTGCAGGCATTGATGGGTACTCCTGTCCTCACCCCTGGCGACCCCTCTCTCTCAACGTGGCTTCATTGTGCCTCCGAATAAGTCTATTCTTGTGAGCAGAAGTTCCCTCAGAGTGCTTTGGGTGGAAAGCACTGATGTCAGGTGGATGGTGCAATGTGTGATGTCCCCAGGGGCGGGTGAAGGAGACAAACAAAGAAGGAAGGAGGAAGGCTGCTGTGTCTTCTTCCTGGGAGTTTTAACCCAAAGGAGGCATGAGTAGAGAAGGCCAGGTGAAACTGCAGTTTCCGTGACTGTACTTGGGTCTTGTGGATTGACCTCTGTTTGTGTCCTGTGCCTCCATTGCCTTCTTGCTGCTGCTGTTCCTAGATGCTTCCCTCTCCAGAGTGAATAACAGCAAATCAAGAAAAACTGAGAAATAGATTGAAATGTTTCTTGAGTGGAAAACCTTTAAGTAGTGATGCGTACCATGCAATAGTTTACTTGGGGTCTGAAAAGCCTCCTCTGACCAAAAAGTACCTTCCCCTATACATATATCCCAGGACATAGAATTTCTGCTGGGATCATGCTTTAAAGAGGAGGGAAGATTTGGGAATACTAGGGAAATGGCATAGGTAGGAGTCAGGGAGAAGGAAGGACTGAGAAAGCGTTGCCATTAAAATAAAAAGTTTCTTCCTTTTTTGGGGGGAGAGACACTCCTGGAAGGGTCTTCATGCCACAATCCACCCCCTCCTCTGTCTTAGCCAGCCTGAATCATGGGCACAACTGCACACACACCAGCATACTCAGAGAGGTTCTGTGATGTGAATGTGGGACCTTTCTCATGCTGGTCCAATCGCATGACCACTGTGCCACCACTTGGCTCCTACATTGACATTTTGGAACAAGTATTGTGTGTCTGTGCTGTGCTGGGCACTTTGCAAACGCTCTCTTATTTAATCCCATAACTGTCCTGTGATTGAAGACTTAGGTCCATTTACCAATGAACAGACTGGGAAACAGAGTAGGCAACATTTTCAAGGCCACACAGCTTGTCAGTGGGTGGAGTTGGGCGGTTAAGCCATTGCCTGTCAAACTGCAGATCCTAGGCTCTTTTTGTTTGCTTGTCTTACCTTGGAAATCACTACTTCTATGTCCCAAGTCTACAGGATTTACTATTATTTTAAAAAAATATTTTATTTAGTTTTATTCATCATCATTATTATTTTAAATTTGACCAGAGAGAGAAAGTGAGCTGCAGCCATGTGGGAGTCGGCCCCAGTAATCACTATTTTGATATTGGTTGATTGGATTAGATTAGATACTGGTTGGTTTGATTTGATTAGTCTGTATCTCTCATTGTTTTCCCCCGAAGAAGGAAGTGGGAGTCACTTTAATAAGTAAAACTTAAGCTAGTTGCCGTCGACTTCTTGTGGTACAAAATCAGTGTAGGCTGCATCTTTGGAAGCTGCACCAAGCTCTCTGAGATCCCTGGGCTTTCTTGAGTGAGTGATGGCCTTGGGGTGCAGTGTGGGTGAGCCTGGACACCACAGAGAGGAAGTCAGCCTTGGAGAGGTGTGTGGAGGTGTGTGGAGGTGTGTGGAGGTGTGTGTCTGAGTCTCCTTTGGTGGTTTAATTCCCCACATGTAATCCGATGCATACTTGTTGGCCCTTTCAAGCAGAGGGTAGGGATACAAGAGTAGGGTCATAAAGAAGAAACATGGGACCATTTAGTTCACTTTAAAAGGAGACCATATGACACAGGTAACCTCCACCCAAGAAACAGAATGATGCTGTACTTTTTGTTTTGTTGTTGGCCTCAAGGGAATGGCAAATGGAGAGAGCCTTCCAGACAGCTCTGTGGCTGTTGCAGCCGGAAGTCATCTTCATCCTGGGGGATATCTTTGATGAAGGGAAGTGGAGCTCCTCCCAGGTAGGACCCTGTGATCCAGAAACCAGCTCCTGCTCTGAGGGCCCAATGAAGCAGCCCAGAGAGTCTAAGAAGCAAAGTGGATTGAGTTAAAAGCTTTGCCCAGTATCGATAGTAAGAACGTGCAGTTGCCCCTGAAGCGTCTCAGGATTCATGTCTAAGAGTGAGGTTGGTTCATCTTTTCTTTGGTCTATGTAGGAAATATGCAGATTAGCCAGACGTTCATTTGGTTGGAGTGTACAGTCCTCTAAACCTCTGGGGAGAGAGGAAAACAGGCAAATAGACGCTTTTTCAGTTGTTACCAGAATTATAGACTGTATGTTGAAATGTACATTTAGCTTTACATTCTTTTCTTATGAGAATTGCACACTGAAAGTTACTTGCTATTCTTCCTTTATTTTCTTCTGTATGAGAGGTCCAGATGGAACCATGCGGATTGGGTGTGAGGTCCCTGTGCCTTTGGTGGGGCCTGAGACCCCTGCTGGGCACTGGGCTGATGTAAGCCTTTCTACGAGACTGAGTGAAAGGGTATTCTCACCTTAACTGTGAGAGCGCTTTGCTTATTACATTGTAGGAATGGATGAAAAAAAAAATGCTGCTTAGTTAAAAATGTCCAGTTGCTGGGACCAGCAGATGGCATAATGGTTAAATTGCCGGACTTCCCCATAGTCGACCGTGGTTTGAGTCCTGGACCCGGTGACTTAAAACTCATGCCAGGTGCATGTGCATGCGTGCCCAAGATCCCAAGAAGAGAATGGAGGAGAAGGGATTGCAGCGTGGCCACTCCCCTGGAAGGTGATTTCTCACTTTCCCTCTCACTGACTCACACTCTCTCTCTCTCTCCAGGAAGCACACATGCCCTATAGCAAAAATCTCTCTAAAGAAAAAAGAGATGTTCAGTTGCTCAGTTTTTAAGAGGGAGTTTATTTGGGGGGAGGGGGGATTTTTAAAAATTCATTGGCATTCCCTAGAACAGTCCAAAAACAGTACAAAAACAAAGTATTGGTCCAGATGTGATAGGAGCCTACTGCTTACAGAATTTCAGTGCTTTATTACCCAGGCTATAATTAAATATGAGATCATGGATGTGCTGTGTGAGAAAAGCAACCAGTTGTAAATGAAGGTGGACATATGTGCTGCTTTTGCAAATTAAGGACAACATATTTCCTAAGTTTATTATTCTGATTTTATATTATTCTAACTTTAAATATTAAAGTGAAACAGTCATAAATATATTGAAGGATTTTTTTTTCAATAGGGTGCATGCACTCACTGGAGATACAGAGAGAAAGCAAGCAAGAAATCTCCCCCCTGGGGCATGGCCATGCCACAATCTCTTCTCCTTTATTCTCCTCTTGGGATCTTGGGCCTGCACTCACTTGTGCCTAGTGAGAGTTTTAAGCCACTGCCAGGACTCGAGCCATGGTCAACTACGTGGAGAGTCCAGCGACATAACCATTATGCCATCTACTGATCCCTGTTGAGGGGCTCTATCTTGCTAGGTTGTGCCACATTTATAACTTATAGGATAAAGTCGATTACTATCCAGAATAGAGATATTTTTTTGCCTATCTTGTGTTTGATCTGTTGATATTTTTAGGCTTATAAAAATAAGATTTATACTAACTTAACTTTGAAACTTTAATAATTAAAGCAATGTCAGAATAATCTTGAGATATTTATTACAATCACAATTAGTTCTCATTCCCATAGTGGTAGCCATAAGGAAATACTGATTCTGAAGGATGTTCTCATTCTTCAATTGAGACACATGAATGATTTACACGATATTTTCTAAGAGCCTGATCTTATAACATGTCCAGATCTGAAGCAGTTCTCAACCTTGGAGTTTATGGTCTTTAGGGGATCTTGAAACATTAAGTGTATGAATAAAACATTTTGGGGGATTGCCAAAGATGGGGGGAGGATATTAGTTAAGTAAATTTTGGTGTCAAGTTCAATAATTTAAAGTATGGGGGCCAGTAGGTGGTATAGCAGTTACATTGCTGGACCTCCCACATGACTGACCATGGTTTGAGTCCTAGACCTTATAGCTTGAAAATCATGCCAGGTGTGTGTGCATGCATGCCCAAGATCCTGAGAGGAGAATAGAGAAGAGATTTCAGGGTGGCCATCTCCCCTGGGGGGTGATTTATCACTTGCCTTCACTGTCTCTCTCTCTACAGCAAGTGCCATGCCCTAATGCAAAAAAAAAAAAAAAAAAAAGAAACCTAAAAACCTCTAAAAAAAGTTAAATACTTTAAAGTATGGACTATCATTTAAGAAAAACAAGTATTACATAGAGTTAAAAATGTTCTATATTAGCTTTATGAGCTTTTGATTTGGAGGAATTAAGTTCTTATATCAAAATACAGACCGTGCTCATAGCCACAGGAAAGAGAGGGTTCTCTGTCTCTCCAGCAGTAATTCTTTTTCCCTCAGGCCTGGGCGGATGATGTGCAACGGTTTCAGAAAATGTTCAGACACCCCAGTAATGTGCAGCTGAAGGTGGTTGTCGGCAATCATGACATTGGCTTCCACTATGAGTAAGTGGGTTACTAAAGCATTGTACCCTGAGAGCTTTTGTTACCTCTAGTTATAGACCTGCTAAAATTCAAGGAAAAGCCTTATTTGGGCTATATTGAGGAATGTCTTTTCCTCAAAAGATGTAAGCTCTGAAATATGAACAGGTTAAAGCATTTTAAATATTGGTATTTAGTGCACCTTCAACACATATCTGTTGAATGAATGAGTTGTATGTACTCATGGGGAATATCTAACTTTAAATGTGCATCTAATGACCAATTATTTTCTTTGGAAATCAGGAAATAGACCATTTCGACTTTAATATCCAACATTTGTATAGTGCTACAGTGCTCATGATATGCCAGCCTGTTTAGGTACTTTACTTTCACATATATTAACTAATTTCATTTTATTATTTTACATATTGTACCAATGTGTAACCTGGGGAGCTTGCCCAGGCCTCATAGTAAGTAAGAGCTGAGATTTGAACCTCGGTAGTCCTGAACAAACAGTATTAGTCAGACAATGTTAGTCAGACACGCAAGTCCTGGAAATGATTTTTCATGTTCATGGAAATAGGTTCTAAAATGGCTTGCTCTGAAAAATCTTTCTTTTTACTTGAATATAGGATGAACACATATAAAGTAAGGCGATTCGAGAAAGTCTTCAACTCTGAAAGCTTGTTTTCTTGGAAAGGAATTAAGTGAGTATTATTTGTGAATTCTTAAGAATACCTTTAGTCCTTGGACGCTTCATTTCTTAATTTTTAATTTTTGTTAGAGGTCACATGCACTCTTCAGAGAGAGAGAGAGAAATGGAAAGAGAGGGAGAGAAGTCTCCCCCACACCCCACCCCATGGGGAATAGTCATGCTGCAATCCTTTTTCCTCTGTCTCTCCTTCCTTTTGGAATTTTGGGCATGCACACACATGTGCCAGGATTCAAGTGTGGGGTTGGCCATGTGGGATCCAGCTGCCTTAACCACCAGGTCACAGAACCTGCCCGGAAACATCATTTTTAAAAGTGGACTGCCATCCTAGGCCAGATTCATGTTGTGTTTGAACCAGTTCATACTCTCTGACAACAAAACCTGAAGCTGTCCTCGTCCTGGGTCACCATTAGATGGGAACTTCAAACCGCCTTGGTTTCCTTCACAATCCATAGTGAATGGGCAGGTTAGGCACCTGCCTAGCCACTATGGGAGCGATCTTCTTTCTTCTGCACTGTCTCTGGGTGTTGTAAATGTTACCAGTCCACCTTGTAAAGGAGTCTTTGGGATCAGCAGTTAGCATAATGGTTATGTCGCTGGACTCCCATGTAGTCTACTGCAGTTCAAGTCCCGGATCCTATGACTTAAACTCACACTGGGCACGTGTGCGTGCGTGCCCAAGATCCTGAGAGGAGAATGGAGGAGAAGAGATTGCAGTGTGGCCATCCCCCCTGGGGGGTGATTTCTCGCTTTCTGTCTCTCTGTCTCTCTCTGTCTTTCTAGCGAGCACACACGCCCTATGACAAAAACCTCTCCAAAAAAAAAAAAAAAAAGAAGAGTCTTTTATTTGATCAAAATGTACTTACTATCCTTCACAAAGGCAGTTGCCATAGTTACAGTGTCCTGGGATTTGGTAGCAAGTGTGCGCGGGTGTACCTGTAGCTCCAAGACTACTCACTGCCCTCACCCTTGACTTTCTGCACCCAGACCAGAGCATCCTAACCCCTCACCAGGCCATCAGCGTCGGCTTCCCACCACCAGGCATGTCAGTGCCCATCTCTAGCTCTCCGGCTTGTGTGTGTGTTTGCAGCACATTGGGCAAGCAAAATGGGATAAAGCATGAGTATATTTTGCTGCAAAAATTTGTGAAATACATGCATAGTTTTTTCATAACACACATTTCCCATGAACTTTCAAAGACTCCCTTGTATTGCAGACAAAGTGCAGGAGAAAAGTGGAAGAGGCTTTTTTCTACCTGAATAATACCCTTGTGGTGGGTGCCCAGCACTCTGTTTCCTTAGGCTCTAGCAGCTCCCTGGGCTGTCCAATGAGGTCATCTCTGTAAAGCACCCAGAGATGAGATAGCTCAATGTGTTCTCTGCAAATGCCCACCATTCCTTCCCTCTGCCTGCAGGGCAGATCTACAGTAGGTAGCTTCCTTTCCTGAGTCAACAGTTATTTCCCCAAAGCGTAATGTTTAGGACACTTAAAACACATTTATCATATCTCAGCTCACTTGATCATTTAGCTCCTTCTCTCTAGAATGGGTTATATTTCAAGCAGACCCTGCTGGCAGGTAACTTTGTATGCCCGAGTGGCATGAGCATACTTAGTGGGAGTCCAGAAAACATAGAGTTAAGGTAAAGTGCTTGGGGAGGATAATCATAACTGACTTCATTACTTTCCTAGTTTGGGATTATCCCCGTGGCTCACTCTGCATAATGATAACAGTATCTGCTGTGTACTGAGTGCTTCCCAGTGGCAGGCTCTGTTCTGTTCTCAGCACCTGCCCTAGTATTCCACTTAACCCTCACAACCAGCTGATGACTTGGGCGTACTGTTCTTAACTCCATTGTTACAGGAAATGCACAGATTGGTTAATTAACTTGACCAAGGACACTCAGTTCTGGTTAGATGCTGAACTTAGAGGTAGTCTGACTTCAGGACATCTGTCGGCTGGAATTGCTCACAAGTAAAGAAAGGGTTAAAGATCTATTTACCTAGGACCAGCAGATGGCGTAATGGTTACATCACTGACATCGGTTGGAGTCCTGGGCCTGTGACTTGAAACTCACGCTGGGTGTGTGTTGCATGTGTGCCCAAGATCCTGAGAGAATGGAGGAGAAGGGATTGTGGCATGGCCATCTCCCCTGGGCGGGGCGGTGATTTCTTGCTTTCTGACTCTGGCGAGTGCACGTATCCTGCAGCAAAAGAATCTCTCTTAAAAAAAAAATCCATTTACCCAGTCTTGCAGTCAATTCCCAATAAATGCTATTTGTTTTGTTAACATTGATTTGTACTTAAAAAGAGACAAAACTAGACTGGGGGTTTAAAGGTCTTCCATGCTGTTTTCTTCATACTGTGGATAGTTTTGTTTTCACGGGAACAAGGGAAGAAAGAAAACACAGGTAAACCCGCAGCCCTGACCTGCCTTGTTTCTGCCTACCTAGCTTCGTGATGGTCAACAGCGTCGCTCTGGAAGGGGACGGCTGCCACATCTGCTCACAAGCAGAAGCTGAGCTCATTGAAGTTTCTCACAAATTGAATTGCTCTCGACAGGTAGGATGCTGCTTCAGTGTCTCAGTGCCTTCTGTTCCGGTGCCTTTTTCTATTTTTGTTAATTTCTCAGCCCCCTGCCTCCCAAAACTCCTTCCGTTCCTGCCACTTGATGAGTGTTAGGTTTACTGGATTAACGGTCTGTCTTCTAACCACCAGAAACACAGGACCCGCTGGTGTGAAGGGCAGCTGCTCCCCGCCTCTGCCCCAGTCCTCCTGCAGGTGAGGTAGGGGAGAGGAGCAGCCCCTGCTGGGCAGAGCATTCCAGGGTTTCATGAAATTCCAGCTGACCTGTTTACATCCCGGACAGCATTACCCACTATATCGGAGGAGTGATGCTAACTGCTCTGGGGAAGATGCGGCTCTGCCAGAGGAAAGGAACATCCCGTTTAAGGAGAAATATGATGTGCTCTCTCGGGAGGCTTCTCAAAAGGTCTGCCAGAGTATTGTGATGTGACTCCCTGTCACAGTGTATCTCTCATCTGCTTGTGTTTCTTTCTTTCTTTTTTTTATCCAGATTTTGCAACAGGTTGTGTGGGCTTGCCAGAGAGAGACAGAGAAGGAAAATGATAAATCACACCTGGGGGGGATGCCCTTCTCTTCCATTCTCTTCTTGGGATTTTGGGCACATATGCACATGCACCCCATCTTTTTTTTAAGTCACCAGGTCTGGGATTCAAACTGTGGAGTTGGTGATATGGGATCCAGTGCCTTAACCACCAATGCCACCTGCTGGCCCTCTGCTTGCATTTTAATTAGCAGTGCTTCAAGGTTAGCATAGGAGTGCACTGGCACACAGACCTGGGTTTCAGAGTTAGTGGCTGGAAGAGGGAAGGCAGGGTTTGGTGATATCTCCAATTTTTGTTTAATCACTTTTTCCTCCCCCTGCCCCAGTAAGTGAATTTCCATTCCTAATCTCAAGTCAATAATATTCTCAGCTATTCTTTGTATTCAAAGTTTTTTTCTTTTTTTGGGGAAAGGTTTTTCCTATAGGGCGTGTGCGCTCGCCAGACAGACAGAGAGAGACAGAGAGACAGAAAGCGAGAAATCACACCCCAGGGGGGATGGCCACACTGCAATCCTTTCTCCTCCATTCTCCTCCCGGGATCTTGAGCACGCACACACACGTGCCCAGCATGAGTTTTAAGCCACCAGGTCTGGGATGCGAACCGGGGTCGACTACATAGGAGTCCAGCGACATAGCCATTATGCTAACTGCTGGTCCCTCAAAGTTTTTTTCTTAATGTACTTAAATGTATTTAGAAATGCAAATGGAACTTAAGAGTCAGGTTTTCAGGAACTTAATAAAAATGTGCTTTCTTAAATATATATTTATAGAATATATATTACATTTGTATATAATAAAGTATATTTTTAGGATATATAAATTTATAAACATGTTTATAGAAATAAAATATTATAAAAATATAAAACCTTTGGGGCTAGTAGGTGGCGTAGTGGTTAAGGCACTGGACTCCCACAAAGCCAACTATGGTTCGAGTGCTGGACCTGAAACCCATGCTGGGTACATGTGCATGCATGCCCAAAATTCCAAGAGGAGACTGGAGGAAAAGGGATTGTGATGTGGCCATCCATCCTGTGGGTTGATTTCTCACTTTCTCTCCCCATCTCTCTTTGTCTCTGTCTCTCCGGTGAGTGTACATGTCCTAGAACATAAATCTCTCTGAAAAAAAAATCTGGGAAAAAGAACAGAGTTTCTCTATGAAGCTGAACTTACTGAATTTAGTATTAACAAACCAAAACATTTTTTCTTTTTTTTTAAAGTAAGCACTTCTGGAAATGTTTTGTTTTATTTGTTGTTTTGTTTTGTTTTTTTTTTGAGAGAGATTTTCACTGTAGGGCGCGTGCGCTCGCCAGACAGACAGAGAGAGACATAGAGACAGAAAGCGAGAAATCACCCCCCAGGGGGGATGGTCACGCTGCAATCCCTTCTCCTCCATTCTCCTCTCGGGATCTTGGGCACGCACGCACACGTGCCCGGCGTGAGTTTTTTAAGCCACCGGGTCTGGGACGCGAACTGTGGTCGACTACGTGGGAGCCCAGTGACATAGCCATTAAACTAACTGCTGGTTCCCATTCTTTTTTGTTTTTAATATGACCAGAGAGAGAGAGAGGAAAAGTGAGAAAGCAAGCCTCTGGGTCTGAGATTCAAACCACGCTCGACCATGTGGGAGTGTCCAGTGCCTTAATCACCACGCCACCTACTTGTCCCCCAAAGAATATTTTTTCTTGCTAGAGGGTATATGCACTCACCAAAGAGAGACAGAGAGACAGAGAGAGACCAGGAGAAGAAAAAGCCCCCACTATGGGGAATAGTCACACCATAATCCCTTCTCCCACAGTCTTCTCTCCTTTCTGGATGAGAAGTGGGCATACATGCACCTGTGCCTATTGTGTTTCTGGTACTGAGTTGTGCCATGTGGGATCTGGTTGCCTTAGCCACCAGGCCATGGAGCCAGTCCCAAACTGAAGGCTTTTAAAGGAAAAACAAACCAGTTCTGCAAAATAAAGGCTCAGTATTTAATGTGATGAAATTGGCTGTAGCCAGTGGCCCTTGGCTCAGCAATACGAGCGTCGCCCGGGTTGGGCCCGAGTGTTAACAGCCTGCCTTTCTGTCTTCTCGGCCGCGGCTAGCTGCTGTGGTGGCTCCGACCACGCCTGGTCCTGAGTGGACACACGCACAGTGCCTGTGAAGTGCTCCATGGGGGAGGACTCCCGGAGGTCAGCATCCCGTCTTTCAGTTGGAGGAACAGAAACAACCCCAGTTTCATCATGGTAATGTGGAAGTTTATTTTTGTCCGAAAGCTTTCATAAGTATTGAAATCAACACAGTTATCAACTATTTAATTGCTGCACTCTGTAAAAAATTTACAAAAGCCATACATAAATCCTCCTTCCCATACACTTAATTGGATAGACTGTCCCCTCTCTAAACACCTTTCTGGGAACAAATAAACATAACAGTGTTTATGGGGCAGTTCATATGAGCAGTGAGGGGTCGCACATCTTAGAGAGTGGGAGTTTATCCTTCAGGGCAGGCGTGCCCTCTGCTACCACACTCGTGTGTGTGTGTGTGTGTGTGTGTGTGTGTGTGTGTGTGTGTGTGTGTGTGTGTGTGTGTGTGTGTGTGTGTGTGTGTGTGTGTGTGTGTGTGTGTGTGTGTGTGTGTGTGTGTGTGTGTGTGTGTGTGTGTGTGTGTGTGTAAGTTTCTAAGGAAACAGGATCTTTATTCATTAGCTACATTCAGTCATCTCTTTATTTTCCAAACATGCCCATCGGCCCTGGCAGGAAATACTACTGCTTTTTGCAAATTGATTAAAGATGTTTCACTTCATGACCATTTGATGTTTTAGTTCCTTTCTGTCATGGGTTCCCGCACCCAGTTCACAGTGCTTTTGTGTCAGATACTTACACATCAAGAGAAGGTGGGGGAAGCCTTACTGTTTCCCATTCAAAGTAAATGGAAACCTTTGTGCTGTCATTCCACTAGCAAAAGTGTCTACAAAGAACAATCCGTGGACCCAACCTGGGCCATGCAATTTTAGGTAACAGCTGCTTATTTTGGCGTAGGAAAACCTCTTTCTGCTCCTCACTTGGGCCTCCATCTCCATGACGCCTCTCTGAATGTTCCCCACTATATTTTATGGGAACCCATTGTGCCAGGGGCCAGCTTGGGTCCTAGCCTTCCTCTCTGGCCAGTGTCTGTGTTTTTGGGTGGCGACTCGTGCAGGCTGGAAGCCAATGTGCCCTCGGTCTCAGGCGAGGAAGTGGCCCTGCCTCACCTGAGGGGACCCTGTTGTTTCCCAAGTCGGACTGCTGCATTCGAGCTGTGTCTGGTGCTCTCGTAACTAACCCATTTCTGTTCCAGGGCAGCATAACGGCCACCGACCATGCCCTCTCCAAGTGCTACCTCCCACGGGAGAACAGGGTCCTGCTCACGTACTGCGGGGCAGCTGTGCTCCTGGTGGTCCTCGTACTAGCTCACTTTCAGCTCTTACCCTCCCTTTTTCTTCTTGGTTGGAACCTGCTCAGAAAGCGTAAGACAACGTGAAGAGCAGACGACTTTAGCCTTAAGTAATAAATATCAAAGCCAAAGAAAGGAACTTTGGGCAGAGCTTCTCTTAGAGTCAAGGGGACAATGTGACCAGGTACAGGCTGTCTCTGTGCTCATCCTAGCAGTTCTCAATCACCAATGTGAGTTACAGCAGAATAAATAATTGATTACACTGTTCTCATGCTATAAAAGTGAAACACGTACTCTACAACAAATCTGTTTTCTCATTTTTATCAAATATATGTATAGTCAAAGGTTGCATCTGTACAGTATGTAAATGCCATGAATGCCAACCACCTGCATGCACGACACAGTCCTTGCTGTCCCGGGAAGGAAGGGACAGCCCTGAAACACACCTGGGATTACGTGTGCACACACGTGCACGTTGGCTTTGCTTCTGCCCTCCTTTGAGGTGGCTCTCAAATTCCTATTATTGTAAAGCTGTACATTTAAAATAAAAGTACAGATGCAATGTACAGGAACATAGTATTTTCACAGACTTTTCTACTGCAGTGCTAACTTAATGGAGTCAGATTTTGTTTATTAAATGTGATTTTGGTCTCTATGAGACTGAGTTGTTACATCTGAATTTAATGTGGGTCACTGATGAAAGAAAACTTGAGAAATGGAGTATGATTTAGCTTTTGGTATGTAAAAACAAATGTCTGAATAACTTTAGACCAGACAATATGTGTAAAAGTTTACATAGGATGTCTACTTTGAGGGGAATCATGAGGAATAATGCAAACAACAATCTATAGCTTTGCTTTTGTGTGTGGGTACATATTCATACTCAGTGTCCTTCAGGTGTTACTTTGAAAGTGCAAGAAGTGGAAATAATTTCAATTTTATGTGTCTCAATTCAACTGATTTTTTTTTTTTTCTTTAATGTCATGAGGCATTTGAGGATTGGAGGAGCTGGAAGATGGTATGAAATATGTGTTTGTTGCACTGTCTACAAAGTTGTCATCTTATGAAAGAGTAATATTTAAATCTGGATGATTTATAAAGGATAAAAATGCTGATTTATAGAGTAATATTTAAAATACTAAATAAAGACTAAAGATTAGAAAAATGAATGAAGTAATGTCGGCTGTCACTTTTCTGGATTTGAATTGTTGAAAATTTCACTTTGGACATCTTTACAGAATGTCTCAGACCTACGAAAATGCCCTAAAGCCATTGCGAGTGGCGTATGCATCCCGGCCACAGCAGTGCTTCCTTTCTAGGTATGGGACCACACCATGACTTTTGAAACTGCATTTGCAGATTTTGCAAGTGTGAGATACAGCCATACATATTGAAACACTTCTTCTTTGAAAGACAAATGAAGATACTCTTATTCTCCTAGGTCAGACACAAACATTGATACCTGTTTTTCTTGCTATTGGCTTACTTGGATAAAGGGCCCTGTGTCCAAAGTTTTGACTAAGGGAATGGTTGATCTATTTATACTCAGGAAACTTGCAGGAGTCTTTAACTAGCAAAGTAATCAAGAAACAGATGGAAGAGAAAAGAATCTCTGGTTTCCTGAAAGAAGATCAGGTTGCAATTTGTACTCTTGAACTAAGTTCAGGTTTTTAAGGCTCACAGAAATAAAAGTGGTTGGTTCCAACAACTGTGATGTAGCTGATGCATATAATTTATCATTTTTAAAATTTTATAATTTTTCAATAAAATACTAACCTGATAAAATGTCCTAAACTCTACAAATACCATTCATTCCCTTTTCAGAGTAAGCGGTGGATAATGTTGACATTAAGCTGTTCAGCACAATCAAAACACATTTCTTTTACAGGAATAGCCATGGTCAAGGCACAGGATTTACAAGGATTTCTCGTTAGTAGTTATACAAAAGAATATTACATTTTATAGTCTGTACATTGTAATAAACCAGCGTAGAACAAGAAAAAGAATATATGAAAGACTGCCCAAGTATAGTGAAAGTCTAGAGAATGGTTTTAGACAGGACGGGAGAGTTTGGAGTATGGTAGGTTTTCTGCCTAAGTGTAAAGGACTTAAGGTAGCTCTAATTCAAATGCCTGAGGCTGGCAGCGATTCTAAATGGGACTGGAAAAGGGTTTCTCTTGGTCCCTTGGGGGTCTACACTATGCCTTGGACCAATCAGATCAGAAGGAGCAGCTTCGTAAAGGGACAGTTGCAAAGAGTGTGGCTCAATAATGGATGAACGAATGAAGGGGCCCCGCCCAGAGAGATTTTGCTGCAGTGTCATCCAAGAGGGAGTAGACGGTTTGCAAGGACATGGATGGATGGAAGGAGGGGGAAAAGGTGGTGGTCAGTGAAAACAAAAGCTACAAAACCAAACCTGAGGGAAATGGAGGTAGCCAGAGGCTTGGTGGTCACACTCGGGTGTACACAGAACAGGACAGACGGCAGCCAGAAGACACGAGGAACTCACTAGGTTCATTCTACCAGGGCATGGGGCTGGCAGACAGGCGGTCTAGTCCCGAGGAACGGGTCGCTGTGGGAAGCGGCAGAGTGAGGGGGAGGTGGCCCTCACAAGAGTTCGTACTGTTTGAGGTGCATCCGCTGGATGATGTCACGGCAGTCGTTGAACACCCTGCGGATGTTCTCGGTGTCCACGGCGCAGGTGAAGTGAGGGTAGCAGTAATGTTTGCCGTCTCCCGTGGCCGTGCTGATCCTCTGCAAGAGAGAGCCCCGCCCACTCACCATGGGAGCAGAACTCGACTTCCAGCCCTGAGGAGGGTGGCGGCCTGTCTGCTTGGTTTACACAGGAGTACTTAGGGCCGAGACCGGCACTAAGGTCTGCAAGCTGCATGGAAGGCCTGGGATTGATCCTGGGCCAATCTGTACATACCTGTTATCCTAATTGGGAGGCTGGGCAGGAGGACTGCAAGGCGAGGAGACCCCATAAAAAGTGCCTGTGTCGGGGCCAGACGGTGGTACAGCAGCACCTGCAATGCTCTGCAAGGCTGGCCCCACATGGGAAGGTCCTCATTCCTGTCCCAGGCCCTCACTTTGCACATGGGTGTGTGCGTGCCTATGGCCTGGGGCTGGCTAAAGGCTGGGGTGGGTTGTCTCTCTTTCTCACAGAAAAAGAAACTTTAAAAACGCTTATATCTGGGGCCAGCATATAATGTAACGGCTATGTCGCTGGATTCCCACATGGCCGACCACGGTTTGAGTCCCAGCCTGGTGGCTTGCTTTCTCACTCTCCCTGTCTCTCTTGAGATAATATTATTATATTCAATTCCTGGTCAAAGCGAAGAAGAAGAAATAAAATTAAATAATTCTAAAAAATCCAAATGCCTACATCTGTCTCTCTCTCTCATAAAAAAGGCAGGGGTGGAGGGGAGATTGAACACAATCTGGACTTTGAGGCGAACTGAGGGGTAGCAGAGACAGAAAAAAGGCAGCCGTTGAAGGGAGGGGCCCCAGGAAGAGTTTCCAGGACCGACAGTCTGACACAGTGCCCTGTGACAAGCTGTAAGCTTTCTGTCACAATGGAATATTCTCTTCCCTGAAGTGACTGAGGGACTGACTGATAATTCCTTTCATTTTAATTAGTTTAGTTTAAATATTTATGTGTGACTAGTGGCATGGCACTGGACACGCGTCTCCTCCTCCACATGGGTGAACTGCAGCATCTGCTAAGGGGGTGCCCTGTGAGCAGTGGGGTGTTCCCGGGCCCTCAGGGAGGAAGCACTCAGTGGTTAAATAGCTTTGGGAAACACGGGGCTAAATACCATCGATCATGACTTATGAGGGTGTCTGTGTGCTGCGCAGCCCAGGGCCTAGGGCAGGGCCTCAGAGGCAACTGTCCTGGGCGCAGGGTCTGGAAAGAGGGGGGTTCATAAGGTGAAACGAGGTCAGTCGAGTAGGCTCTGATTCAATTTGACTGTGTCCTTATAAGAAGAGACTGGAGGACACAGACGCACACAGTGGGAAGACCTCGAGAAGAAGCAGGGAGGTGACATATGCTCGCGAGGAGTGGCCTCGGGGGAACCTAACCTGCCTATGCCTTGACTTTGAACTCCTGGCCTCCAGCACTCTGAGGAAACAGACCTGCGCTGTTAACGCCCAGCGGTCTGCCGTGCTTGGTGACAGCAGTCGGAGCGGATGAAGAGACCACGTGCTGCTCTCTCCAGAGGTGTCAGAGAAATCCTGAACTTCCTCCTCACCCCCAACCCTGCCCCTCCACCACCTTTTTCCGCAAAGATCTTGGGAAATTGCCTTCGGAGAAATACTGGGACCTCCAGTATTTCCAGTGATGCTCATCCAACTCCTGGTAGGGGGTTTTAGCAACAAGTGGGCTTTTCTTGAACTTTTGGCCCCCCCCGTTTTTAAACTTATGGACGCTGAAATGAGCAGGCTATGTATCTTTTTAATCCTATTGCAACACCCGAGGTGTCTGCACATACAGTGAATGGATGAAAAAAGCAGCTTTTGTCTGTAATAGTCGGCCTGGAGTAGCAGCAACAACAAAGTTAGGAATAGAGTCGCTACAGTGGTTACTGCAATTTGTAAACTTCACTTTCAATTTCTCAACACACTTGCTTTGTCCACTGATGTTCATGAAAATGGATAAAAATAAACTTGTTGGGAAGAACTGGATAGGTCCAGGCTCTGCTCAGCTGGGTTACCCGGCAGCTCCCCAACTCTGAGACTTTCATTGGTTTGTTTTGTTTTTAGCCATAGGGCACATGCTGGAGAGAGACAGAGAGGGAAGGTGAGAAATCCCCTCCTCCCCTGGGGGCGAGGGTGGTTAGCCACAGCACGATCGCTTCTCTTTCACTCCCCTCCTGGGATTCTGGGCATGTATGCACATGCGCCTGGTGTGATTTTTCAAGCTGCCAGGTCTGGAGCTTGAACCGTGGTCAGCCCTGTGGGAGTCCAGCGCTTCAGCCACTACGCCACCAAGATGATGGTCAAGGTGAAAGAACTCTCAGCTGAGCTAAGAACGCTAGGCGGATAGCCCAGAAGACACAGGAGGACTAACCAAGGCTGAGAGCATCAAGATGCCGCGGCTGACCCCACCATCACCACCTTCTGCATTAAAGGGTTTGGAGGCTGGCCAGGTCTGGGCGTGGCTTGCAGCGGGTTCTCAGGTTGAGGGACAGGACTGTTGCTGGGGGCTGGCGGGATTCTGGGCTTTGACTATTTGGCTCTCCTCACTTCTGCCTCCCCAGGTTCTAAGTTCCTCTCACCTCTGGGGACAGCTCCTGCCTCCCTTCCGCGGGAGGAGAGGGGCTTGTCAGGGACAAACCTCTGGAGGTCAGTCCCTGCCTCATGCAATGGCTATAACTATAACGTGTGTGTGTCTAATGCCCCTGAGGAACTCAAAGCAGAGTCCTTCCCACTGTGTCCAGGTAAACTCATGTCCTTCTTCTCCCTTAGCAGAGTCCCCTGCACACCTCCGATTCCGTCTATAACCTCTGTTCCCTCCGTCCCCTGGGGCCATGTGTTACCAAAGTCATCGTTTCACCCATGATTTGCTCCTGTCTAGATTAAATACTGATAAACGGGCACGTGTGCAGCCTGCCCTGCGTCTGCAGTTACAGGTTCCAGCTCAGGACTGCTTAGCTGTTCTCATTACCCGAGGCAATGCTACGGTTCAAAGAGTAAACGGATATTTCCTATGCCTTTCTCTCTCACATTTGAAAAGCTGTCTAAAAGCAAGGTTTTTGGCCACTGTCAGGGAATACGAGTTTGGTCCATCTGGCAGGGGGCAGGGGGCAGGGGACATTGCCTATTTTAAAGAGGGCTAAGCTCTGCTTCTAATCTGCATCAAAATTACCAAAATTTGCACACTTGTTAACTTTTAACTTTTTCTCTAGGTTTAAACATTTTTTTTTCTTTCATAAGAGAGAGACATAGAGACTGAGACCAAGAAACACCTTTAGCAGGGTTTCATACTGCGACATCCATCCCTCTTCCCGTCCCCCCAGTCTTTCTCAACCAGCCAGATGGAGGGCACACGTGAGCTCTGGGCATGTTCAGATTAGCCTGGGAAACAGACCTTGGCCTGCTCTGTGGATCTAGCATTGCAGGGTGTTGTGCTACTGGGGTTGGGCCAATGAACTTTCATTTCCCAGGAGAATAGCATTTTGCAGAACACTGAGTATATGTCTTTATATTTGATCAATTCCTTAATCTCCTACAAACTAAATTCCCTTATTGAAGAGACATGCAGTGCTTGTTAACGTGGTAAAGGCTCCTACAATGTGATAACAGAGAAACGATCTCACTGCATTTAGCACAGTCTCTACCAGAGGTATCCAGCTGCAGAAGTTTTCCCTTCACTTCCTGAGCCAGCTCTTGCCCCTCTGAACTTACTCAGAGACTTTGTTTCCTACCACTGCTACTTTCTAACTCGTAGGACTCAAGGGCTGACTCACAGGGATGTGGTGGCAAGAGAACAGAAAAAAGCCAGGCTGGAGGGTTGGCTCCCTGTAGAAAGGCCACCAGCTGGTCTCTGGGGCTGCCCAGCCTGAGATCCCCACTTCTCTAGAAGCGAACAGTTGGCCATATCATGTTAAGTGCATCGGAATCTTACTGGGATCATGTCCTTGGGGATGTCTTGGCATTCACTAGTCTCAATCTACTGAAAACTCATAACCAGCTTCATGTTGTAGGTTATTCAAAGAAAGAAATATGAGGGTTTACAAAAGTTCATAGAAGATATACATTATAAAAAAAACTATGCATGCATTTTAATTTTTTTTGCACTAAAATGAAAGAGAAATCTGCAAGTTGTGAAGAATAATATAACACCAAGGTAGTGATGTTATATAGTGTTATATAGTGTTTTGCTTACCAAAAACAGATCCCGAATAAAGAACTTGGCTCTTGTAACTTTGGGATCTTCTCCAGCATCTGGTGTTGCTGCAGAAATTAAAAAGAAAGAAAGAAAGAAAGTTACGTAAGCAATGTGAAATAAAGATACAACTATGGAAACAGGAATTGTGACGTTGGGCTACTGTATATTCATAGCATTAAATACAAGTATGGCAAGGCAAAACCAAAAATGTAATGTGCACTCATTTCCCTCTTTTAATTTTTCTTTCTTTCTTTCTTTCTTTCTTTCTTTCTTTCTTTCTTTCTTTCTTTCTTTCTTTCTTTCTTTCTTTTTAATGATAGCGTGTGTGAGCTCATGTGAGAAAAAGAGAGACTAGTACACCCTCAGCAGGATATTGTGACACCACGATTGTTTTCCCCTAGCACTCTAGTTTGTAGGGTCTTAGGTACCTCCATACACATCCAGTGCGTTTTCAGGCCTACCCCCATGGATCTGAATCCAAGGTTGGTCATGTGGCTTCCAGCACTGCAGTTCACTGTGCTATTGACTTATCTGCCTGCCTAGGGCATCTCCAAAAACATTTTAATAGTTACGGTTCTGCTAAAACATTTCACTGGAGGTGTTATGGTTTGAATGTTTGTGTCCTTCAAAATTTGTATGTTGAAACCTGATCTCTAAAACAACAGCATTAAGGATATGGCCTTTGGGAGGTGATAGGTCATGAGGATTCCACCTTTGTGAATGGGATTGGTGCCCTGTACAAGAGGCCCAGAGTAGCTTGTTTGTCCTTTTAGTCATGTGAGGACACAGAAGATGCCATCTCTAAAGCAGAGATGCCGACGCTGTGATGTCTTGATCTTGGACTTCCTAGCCTCCAGAACTGTGAGCTGTTGTCTGAAAATTGCTCACATGTTTTAATATAGCAGCACAAATGGACTAAGAGGCTGGAGAAGGGGGTAACTTTCACTCAAATAAAATGAAAGCATCTCACTGACAACAGGATACACTGGGCCCCAGTCTCAGAGGCGTGGGATGGCTGGTCACCTATTAGAAATCACCAAAGTTGTAGCAAGAGACAAGGCAGGGGGCTGTCCTGTGGCATAGCACTAAAACATGGGCTCTGCGAGGCTGGCTCACGTGGAAGGCTTCTAGTTCGTGCTCAGAGACCTCCTTGAGTACACCAGACATGTGTGATCATCCATGATCTAGAGCTGACACAGGCTGGGGGTTGGCTTTCAGTATGCAGAGTCAAGACTCTCCTAGTGGTTCTGTCTCTGTCTGGCTCATGGAAGAAATAAATGATCTTAAAAAAAAAAAATGACAGCACCTGAGGCAGAAGCATGCAAATCCAGTGACTAAAAGCATGGGCTTGGAGACAAAGCATTCGAGGCAGCCTTGCTTCCATAGGCTCTTGCTCAGCCTTGCTTGCCATGGGAAATAAGATGGAAACTACCACTTAAGTCACACCAGACTCAACAAAGGTGTGGAATTAGCCCGTAAATGACATAGTCATACCCCAAAATGGCTTTTCTTCTGTTCCACAGTTTGAATGGCAAGTTAAACTCTGAAACATCTACAAATGGAATCCTTTTTTTTTTTTTTTCTTTTTAAGAGAGAGTTTTTTATGCTATAGGGCATGTGCACTTGCCAGAGAGACAGAGGACAGAAAGCAAGAAATCACTGCCCCCCCCCCATTGAAAGGGGAAAGAGGCAAAAAAGCAAGAAAGCCCTGCCCCCCCCCCCATGGGAGCTGGCCATGCCACAATCCCTTCCCCTCCATTCTCCTCTTGGGATTTTGGGCATGCACACACACATGCCCTGCATGAGATTTAAGCCCTTGAATGCAGGACTTGAACCACAGTCGACAATGTGGGAGTCCAGTGAGGTAACCATTATGCTATCTGCTGGTCCCACAAGTAGAATCCTAAATAGGACATTTTCACACTGTAGTTAGTGCATGAGGGTACAGGCAGTAGAAGAGACTATTAATTGACATAATTGATAGACTAATCTAATTGAACTTAGAGATTCATCAGAGATCTCTGAATGACTGTTTCAGGACTTCTAAAAAAAATGACTGTTCCTTGATTGTGAGAACGTTGTTTTGAAATCTTACCATCTTCAGGAACGGTATAATTTGCATACTCTGGGAAATAGTCTTCAATTTTTGATTTGCCTGCCAAGACTTTTTCTGCCAGCATATCTTGTTTGTTCAAGAACAGGATGATAGAAATGGTTCGTAACCACCTAAAGAGGAGAAATAAACATCCAAACTTCACATACAGATATAGGTGAAAGTACTTCTAACCCAGAAGTCACTAAACTAAAAGGAGAACATTATCATCTCCCTGAAAATGTACAGGATGTAAAACTGTGATTCAGCAGTATCCTCATTCCATCTGTAAGCAAGGATTCACAAATACAGGTGGTTAATTTAGCACTTCAGCACTTTCTAATTCAAGTGGGGATACACATTTACTAGTACCAAAAGTAGGATTTAAATTTTTGTTTTGCTACAGGGTATGTGTGTTTCTGTATACCCAGTATTTCTTTTTCTTTTCTTTCTTTCTTTTCTTTTCTTTTCTTTTTCTTTTTTTTTTTTGGAGAGATTTTCGCTATAGGGCACATGTGCTCACCAGACAGAGAGACATAGAGACAGAAAGTGAGAAATCACTTCCCAGGGGGGATGGTCACGCCGCAATCCCTTCTCCTCCATTCTCCTCTTGGGATCTTGGGCATGCACGCACACACGCCCGGTGTGAGTTTTAAGCTGCCGGGTCCAGGACGCGAAACGCGGTCGACTACGTGGGAGTCCAGTGACATAGCCATTACGCTAACTGCTGATTCCCTACCCAGTATTTCTTGATCTTTTTTATTTCCTATTAACTAGTTTAATTCCATAAAACTGAGAATGGTCATTGAACACTTAATACTTTTACAATTGGGGCCAGCAGGTGGCGTGGTGGTTAAGGCGTTGGAATTCCCACATGGCTGACCACGGTTCGAATCCTGGACCTGGTAACTTGCTCCCTCACCCTCTCTCTCTCTCTGCCTGTCTTTCTCTGGCAAAAACTCATGTGAAATAATAATAATGATAAACAAAATAAATAATTATTTTTTAGAAAAGAAATACTTTTCCAATCATCTGAAACCCTTTGCAATGTCAATGCATGCTTCCTGTACTCCTAGATAATAATTGTTTCTAAAAGTTTCAGAAGAAAGTTTGATTTTCAGCTCTCCATGTGTACTGGGTGCACATCTGCCCCATGTTCCTTTCTGAAATAATCACTTCTGCCGCTCTGCAAGTATGAGCAGCTTCAGACATGACTATCCTGTGGTTCCAACTGGAAGGAATTTTGGAGACTGTTTAGTTGTTAGTGGATGTTCTGAATGGGCACTTTCAAAATGGCAAAAACAAAACAAAGCCCATTTTGATCCCTAGATATAATCTTTCAAAACAGACATTTAAATTATCTTTTTTTTTTTTGGAGAGATTTTCGTTATAGGGCGCATGTGCTCGCCACACGGACAGAGAGACATAGAGACAGAAAGCGAGAAATCACCCCCCCAGGGGGGATGGTCACGCCGCAATCCCTTCTCCATTTTCCTCTCGGGATCTTGGGCACGCATGCACATGCACCCGGCGTGAGTTTTAAGCCACCGGGTCCAGGACGCGAACTGTGGTTGACTACGTGGGAGTCCAGCGACATAGCCATTACGCTAACTGCTGGTTCCCCACATTTAAATTATCTTGACAGGGCACCTTCAGAGCTTCATCAGGGATGACTACTAATTTTTTTTTCTTTTTTTTGAGATGTTTCTGCTATAGGGTGCGTGTGCTCGCCAGATAGACAGAGAGAGACATAGAGACAGAAAGCGAGAAATCACCCCCCAGGGGGGATGGTCACGCCGCAATCCCTTCTCCTCCATTCTCCTCTCGAGATCTTGGGCACGCACGCACACATGCCCGGCGTGAGTTTTAAGCCACCAGGTCCGGAACTCGAACTGCGGTCGATTACGTGCGAGTCCAGCGACATAGCCATTATGCTAACTGCTGGTCCCACGACTACTCATTTTTAAGTACATCTGTATAGTGAATGCACTAAAAGAGAGACTGCTTCTGGTTCTGAATTTATCAGCAAGGAAAGACAGCATCTGGAGAGTAAATATGAATGTGAGCTGCTGACTGCCCCCCACTCCCATAGGGCACATGCACTTGCTGAAGAAAGACACAGAGAAAGGGAACGTGATAACTGCACATGCGCCCAGCATGATTCTCAAACTGCTGGTCCAGGACTTGTCCTGAGGTTGGCCAAAAGGGAATCCAGCACTTTAACTACCACGTCACCTGCTGGCCCACATGAACGTATTTTTAATAAAAGAAAATTTGCAATATGGTGGTGAGACTGAATTGATTATTTGTATCACCTGTTGTTCCAGATGCTTTCGAAGAGGTCCAAGGATTCTCTCAGCCTGTTGGTGTTGTTATCTTCCCGAATCACCATGTTGTAGCTACTGCAGGCCGCGACGTAAATGATAGCAGTGACATCTTAGCGGTGGGAAAAAGGAAAAGGGAAGCACTTGAGTCGGACAGTCATTGTGGGGTTACCATCAAGTACACACTCGATGGCTACTCAGTTCCGTGGACATTGTCACTCAGTGACTATAAGAATGACTTGAGGGAGCAGCTGGTGGCACAGCAGTAATGAAATGCTCTGCGATGTGGAACCCACAAGGGAAGCACCTGAGGCCTCCCTGTATACGCGAGCATGCCCGTCCTGGGACGGGGGCTGGCTGAAGCTGGGGGCAGGACAGGACATGAAGGCCCAGCTGGGAATGTCTGTCTTTCTATTTCTCTCTCTATATATGGAAGAAATAAATAAATAACCATAAACAACAAAAACAACCACAAAAAAGAAAGACTTGCACCTGTGCTGTGTGCGTAACTACTTGCTTCTGTATTACATGAGATTGGGAGCCTGCCCCAAAGTGAAAAGTAAATTTTGGATGCTTAAATTATTATTATTTTTTAAAGTTTTTGCTATAGGGCATGTGTGCTCATGGGGATGGGGGTGTGGGGTGGAGGGGTACAGGGAGAGAGAGAGAGACTGAGAGAGAGAAAATGAGAAATCACCCCCCAGGGGTATGGCCATGCTACAATCCCTTCTCCATTCTCCTCTCAGGATTTTGGGCACGCATACGTGCCCGGTGTGAGTCTCATGGTGCCAGGTCCAGAACTTCAATGGTGCAGAAGGTCATGTGAGATCCAGACGCCTTAACCTCCATGCCACCTGCTGGCTCTGGGATGCTTAAATTATTTATTGATAAGGTTCATATTTAAGGAAGGAGCATATTAATCTATAAAGTGCTATACTTTACATACCAGTGAGGTTAAAAATGATCTAATTGAAAACCAGTTAAACATAGCAGCAATGGTGAGTTTTAGAGTCGACCCTCATTTTTTGGAGAGAGCATAAAACTCACCGTTAAAGCACTGGATCCATTTTCTTCTCTCGTCCCTCTGGCCGCCAACGTCAAACATGCTAGTGGAAAAGCAGCAGGGAGACAGTTACGTGGGGGGACAGGGAAACCACGGCGCGCACTTCTGCTTTTTCTCCAATACCGTCACGAGGTCCTAGCCGTTCACATGTGCGTCTTCAGTTGGACTCTGGCACTTGCATGAACTTGGGCTATGAGCTACTCAGCCTTTTCTGGCCTCAGTCCCTCCTCGGTCACCCTTTAGGGTGGTTGCAGGGGTGACAGGCCATGTGGGAGGCAGCTAGCACCGCAGGGGCGCTCAGTGGGTGCCGAATAGACGAGTGACTTCAGGTTCACACCACACCTTGCTCTGACCTTTGGGCCTCCCCGGGTACAAGCCAAGGCACTACTGGGGGCAGATCCTCTTGTGACCTGTCCCAGCTCTTAGAATGCCGTCTTACCTATCCTGAGAGCTGAGAAAAGCTCCTCACTGACCAAGCTATGTCTGCATCCCTCTTAGTCACCAGAAAATGAACATTTCAACCCTCTTCAGAGTCCAGCTCTCACCAAGGTAGACCTTTTTCAAAAGGTAGGGATGCATAGCCCAGAATCAAGCTCCCTCAAGCCCACGCGCTTCAGTTCCAGCTCCTGGCAAGGTCCTGGGACTCCAGAACCACCATCCCTGCAGCAAGCCGCACTCTTACTGTACTCACTGGAAGTTCACTTTGTCGACTTGGAATCGTGTCTCAAAAATTCCTGATGTCAGAACCCTGCATCTGAGGAGGTCCTGGGAGCGAGAAGAGAGAAGCAAGCCACAGTATGTCACTGTTCACCTCAGAACTATAATCATCAAAGTTTTCAAATGATGCCTTCCATTGTTAAAAAATAATCATAATGAAAAACTCATACGAATAATCTCTGCCTCATTTTCCAGAGAACTCCTAAGTGAATGCACTGGTTTAATCTTTAGAAACTTGATAACTGTGCTTTTATTTAGGATTTGAAAAAGATCATTTATGAATGCATCTTGCTGTTCTGCACCTGACAACCAAATCACAACACTTAGTGCTCTGGGGACAGAGTCACTGCCATGGCCTTGTTAGAACTGGGGAAGCTTCCACTGCAATCCAGAATTGTCTGGATGAGGAACTGCATTAATATATCATGGGTCTTACATGCTGGATGCTAACTGATTTAAATTTGCTTTCTCTTTCTTCCCTGCATACTTCTGCTCTAAGATCAGAGATGATGTGGTCCCCAGGGGATGAGAAAAACCATGAAGTTTTATAAAGGGGACATCCCTGGTAAATTTGGCAAATGTCAGAGTTTTTTTTTTCTGACCCTCAAATCCATTATGATTCTAAGGAAGCAGCCACTGTACAATGCTTCTGGAAGACAGGTCTTCAGATTTTAGCTAAAGTATTTAGGAAAGCTTTGAGGGAGTGTCTCAAGGTTAGGAAATCTCAATTGTTCAATCAGATGATTTTAAGCTCTTGGGATCAGCCTTAGAGACATGGCCTTTAGGGCAGAGAGAAAGGACCTCAGATCCTCAGGGTAGGCAGAGAAGAGAGAGCTACCAGGAAGGCCCAGGGCCAAGGCTTCCCAGGGGACACAGCGCTGGGGCAATCTGGAGAGTGTTCGATTCCTTCTAGCTTCCTTGGGGCTCGCTAACTCTCAAAACATGAGGTGGGGACTCCTGAATTGAGCAATCCAGGGCTCCCCACGTCTCCACAGGTATTTGCTGGTCAAAGAGGGATACAGAGAGTCCCTCTCTGCTACTTATATGCAGTAGGGTACTTTTTTTTTTTTTTTCTGCTTTAACCTAGAGGAGATGGGACACTCCCGGAAAGTGTGTCGTGGTGAGGGACACAGGCATGGGGCTTCCAGCAGAATGGGCACAGTTACGAAAGGGGAGGAGTAAATGCTTTGCTTTCCTGTTGAGTCTTGGGGAACAGGAATTGTACATGCTTAGACTGCAGGTCAAATGACTTCCAAGTTGTCAAGTTTGAGATCTGCTAGATGTCAGAACTCCAAGTCCAGGGAGCAAGGGCAGGGATTTGATTAACACACGCAGGGCACAGGCAGGGGCAGCTCAGGCCATTTGCATAAAGTGCTATACTTTACATACTAGTGAGGTTAAAAATGATCTAATTTGCAAGTAGTTATTTGAAGGATTTTTGCTTTAATCCTTTCTTTATCTTGGAGAGAGAGAGAGAGAGAAAGAGAGAGAGAGAGCGCGCGCGCACGTGCAAGAGAGAGACAGAGATGGGTATTTCCAGCAGGGTCTTGTCTTGTGATCCTCTTCCCCAGCATCCCAAATAGCTAAGCCCACAGCCAAGGGCAACCCATGTGACTGGGCCTCCTGGGTGACTTCTAGCTTCCCAACAATGCCGAGCCATTTGTCAACAGTCGCTGAATACTTCTGGACGTTAATCTCCGAAGTTTCCTAGAGTGGCGGCAGGCTCTCTCCCACATACCTGGTCTGTGGGTGTGTAGTCAACCAAGCTGACACTGTCGATTCTTTCCAGGAAGCTGCAAAGAAAGCCAGCATGTGTTCAAAAACGTTCTCCGATCACTTTCTCCTGGGACTGGGGGATAAGTCAATGCAACAGTCACCCAAGTATAGCCAGGAGAGGGGACAGCTGAGGTCAGCCCCTACTTTCTTTCCTGACTATGCCCCTGTCTAAATAATACAACATTGCTTAGGTCTTTATGGAGGGACAGAGGGCTACATTCATTTTTTTTTTCCCTGCTTTGATTTTCCTCTTTTTGACTCCTATAGGCTTGGGGGTGAGGGCTGCTCTGAAAGTGAGAAGGAGTATGAAGTCTCTTTTCCAAGGCTAAGCTGGTAGAACAAGGCATTGCAGTATAAAGAGAAAACAGAAGGTGACAGAGGTTTCTTTAGCATAGTACATTTCTAGTCAGATCCAGGAGCTGCGTGAGTGCGTGTGAGTATATGACTGTGTGTGTATGGCTGTGAGCGTGTGTGTAAGAATGAGGCTGTGAGTGTTGTGAGCATGGGTGTTAGGACGGTGTCTGTGAGTGTTTGTGAGTGTAGGTGTCTAACCATGAGTGTAAGAGTGAGAGAGCAGTGTTTGTGGAAGACTGTGTGTGGCTGTGTTAGTGTGAAAGTGTAAATGTGAGCGTTCTATGTGTGATGACTTTGTGTATCTGTATGACTGTGAGTGTAAGGGTGAGTGTGTATGTCTGCGTGTTTTTGAGTGTGCACAATAGTGAGTGTGTGCATGCATGTGTGTGCACACTGGTGTAAGACTGACCCCAGCAGTTCGATGTACCCCACAAAATAAAGGGAGGAGAGGAAGGCAGGCCCTACATGGTGCCGTTTCCCGGCTGGTCCAGCCCAGAGCTGCAGCCATGTGCTCGCAGTGGTTGGTGACAAAAGGCCCCTTTCACGGAGGTGGGCGCTGCCCCTCTGCAGAGGCCTCCCTGCCTACCTGGTCTCAAACAGCACCCGTCCTTCTCTGTGCCAGCCACAGAGCACTATCACAGCCCACTGTGCTTTACTTATCCATTGATCTGTTATCTGCCTCTTCTTCTAGAACTCTTGGTTGGCCCCCATGTCCCAGCACTTAGTATAGGGCCTGGCCCCAGTAGATGTCTGGGAATGAATGACAGGCCTAACCCCTCATCGCCACCTGCAGATGAGACAGGTAAGGAGCAAGGTCTGAGAGACCCATGCGGGAGTCCAGGAAGATTGTCACATCACAGGAAGAGCCTGTGGACTGGCTTGCTCTAAGCGAGAGGCACTTTTGGAGAAAGAGGGGCAGCAGGGAATTCTGGAAGCAAGATGTGAGGAGGGAGGGGTCTAAGAGACCCATGCCCTCCAGCCTGGGTATCCATGAGGGCACTTGAATATCAGGCCTGGAGGTTCAGCACTGGAGAGCGAAGGAGAAGAGAACAGAGCAGCCGGGTGACTCCCAGCCTGAGCCGGGATGGTTGGGTCTGTAACTGGGAGCAAGGTGGAGAATGACCCTGTGCTCTCCAAGCCTGTGTGCCTGTGGGTGTCCTGCGTGGCCGCAGAGAGGGTGTCATCTCCCCATCTCCACGTCAGCTCTGCCACAGGCCCTTGCAACCCTTCAGCACAGGCAAGAGGGAGGCGAGGGGGTTCAGAGCATGCCACCCCAAAACATGCTTGGAATTTTGACTACTTGGAGCTAAAAACACTTGAGAAATAGCAGATGTAGGAAGGGCTATTTGACCTCCCATTTCTACCTAATAACAAGTGATAAAATTTCCCATGAGAAAGGCGCCTTTCTACGCCAAGAGGAGAAACATGTTCTCACCACCAGAGACTGGGAGTCCATGCCAAATGGATCCACATAAACAAACCTACTGAGTAACGCTTATCTTCTACTGGTTCCTCCCGCAGATTCCTGAGCCACCGCTGCACAATCTACTGCCCCTAGAAGCTCACGCCCTTTTCCTTTGTCTAGTCACTTCACTCATTCATCTTTTTTTGGTGATAAAGGTCTATACACTCTTTTTTTTTTTTTTTTTTGGAGAGATTTTCACTGTAGGGCGCATGCGCTTGCCAGACAGACAGAGAGAGACATAGAGACAGAAAGCGAGAAATCACCCCCCAGGGGGGATGGTCACACCGCAATCCCTTCTCCTCCATTCTCCTCTCGGGATCTTGGGCACGCACGCACACGCGCCCAGCGTGAGTTTTAAGCCACTGGGTCCAGGACACGAACCGTGGTCGACTACGTGGGAGTCCAGCGACATAGCCATTACGCTAACTGCTGGTTCCCTATACACTCATTTTTAACCACCTTTTTAGGACTTCATTTTCTTATGACGGTTTCTGTGTGCACGTAAAGATATTCAGTGAAATCTGTGTCTTTTCTCCTGTTAGCCTGTTGGTGTCACTTCCTTAGTGGTCGTGACCCTAAGAGAGTAGAGGGAAGTTTGTTTTCTTCCCCTTCAGCGGCAATCGGGGTCATGTTTATGAACCACTTGGCCAAAGATACAGTAAGACAACTTAATTCACTTGGACATCTTTCTCTCTCTCTTTTACTCTTTATTTTTTAGAGAGATTTTTGTTATAGGGCACATCTCTCTGGAGAGACAGAGACAGAACATGAGAAATCACCCCCCAGGGGGGGATGTCTGTGCTGCAATCCCTTCTCCTCCAGTCTCCTCTCGGGATTTTGGGCATGCACACACACATGCACCTGGCATAAGTTTTAAGTTGCTGGGTCCAAGTCTCGAACTATGTTTGAGTACATGGGAGTCTAGGACTTAACTATTATGCCATCTTCTGGTCCCTCTTTTTCTTTTAAAATGATTTATTATTTATTCAGTTATTGAGAGAGAGAGAGAGAGAGAGAGAGAGAGTTCAACTAACCACTCCTAGTAGGGTCTTGACAATGTGATCCATTGCTAGCCTCAGCCAGCTCTAGATCGTGGGCGTGCATGTGCCTGGTATACTCAGAGAGGTGCCTGGACACGAACCTGGTACCTTCCCATGTGCGTCAGCCTTGCAGAGTATCATGTTTTACTGCTGTACTGAGAGAGAGAGAGAGAGAGAGAGAGAGTTCAACTAACCACTCCTAGTAGGGTCTTGACAATGTGATCCATTGCTAGCCTCAGCCAGCTCTAGATCGTGGGCGTGCATGTGCCTGGTATACTCAGAGAGGTGCCTGGACACGAACCTGGTACCTTCCCATGTGCGTCAGCCTTGCAGAGTATCATGTTTTACTGCTGTACTGCTGTCTGGCCACAGTGCTTGGCCATCTTAGCTCCGGGGGGCGGGGTGGGGCAGCTTCTATCCATGCATTCTCATTTTGGCACAAAACCTAGCTCAGAGCTGGAACAAGAGTCACCCCATGGCAGGTAAGCCATAGGGAGAATGTACAAAGGGCAGAGGTGGTCTGCTGGTGACAGGAATGGCCTTATAGAGGGTCAGGAAGTGCTTTCATTTCAACTAAAGACAGGGGACAGGCTATAGGGGAGAGGGAGCAGTGAGAGGCATGTCTGTGGCTGCACCCACTGTGGATGAGTCATTAAGGAAAATCAGCTGTGCCCGGAGAGGGACTGCAGAGCTGTGGCCCAGGTGACCGGGTCATTGAGAGGCTAAAGGAGCCCTGATCTGCCAGTGGCCCCTTGGAGCACTGCGAGCTCTGGTAGATGAATTGGCCAAGTGTGCTCTGGCTTCTGTGGAGGAGGAGCAAGACTGGACCTGCCCCAGGAGGGACTTCTGGGAGCTACAGGGAGGGGAAGGAGTCCTGCCCTGGGAGGAGGGTTTGCAAACTATGACTCAGTTCTGGCTTAGTGATTGTTGTTCTGCAGTGTAGTGGAGTTGAGAGCGCCATGTAAGGACAAACCTAGAAGGAAAGGAGCAGAAAGGCCTCTGAGATGCTTGTTTTTGTAGGGTTGAGAGGGAGGTCTGTGGCAGGGACAATTTCTGATGGTGAGGAGGGCTACTCCCCCCACATGCTGTGTGTGCTGTGTGTGCTGCAGTAACCTGATTCAGAAATGGTCTGGCTTCTTGAGAAAAGATATATGATACTGAGTACACGATACAGAAACCAATCAGCTCTGATGAACAGGGCTGGAAGGAACTGAAAATTGAATCCGAGGCCTGTGGCTATAGTTAGAGTTTAGGAAGCAACCAATTTAAAATAGGATGTACATAGGGGTGGAGGTGGGTGGGCAGATTGATTCAGATGATAATAACTAGTATAAGAAGAAAGAATGAAATATGGTTAACAAAAAATACGTCTGAAGTTCTTGAGAGATGTGATTAAAGACTGCCTTCCAAAGGAAGTGGTGGGAGTACCTTCCTGCATGCTATTAAAGATGAGTGATCCGGAGGTGCTGATGACAAAGGCAAAGGTCGCAAGTCTTTTCCTGGCCCTCATTTCCAAGGATACTCCGAGTTCCTTCTAGTTCTGACACTTAACCACTCAAGTGAGACTGAGGAGGCCTCATGGAGCATTTCCAAGAGTGTCTTCTGAATTGTTACCGATGCAAAATGGTATCCATGAGTCCATGGATCTCGGGTATGTACAATGAAAGTAAAATGTGAAAATTCATCCCTGAATGTGAACATGACCCACAGTTCTTTGGAAGAGTCTCTAAGGAATAAAGACTAGATAGATTTTTGCTAGCCTCCTGCCTTAATCTTTATTCAAACAGGTGTATTTCCGATCATATCATAGAGGTAATTCTTTAAATGGGGCGGTTCATAAGATGACATATACAAAGGGACTTCAAAAAGTTCATGAAAAACGGAATTAAAAATATGAGTTTCTTTTTTTTTTTTTTTGGGAGAGATTTTCACTATAGGGCACGTGCACTCGCCAGACAGACAGAGAGAGACATAGAGACAGAAAGCGAGAAATCACCCCCCAGGGGGTATGGCCACGCCGCAATCCCTTCTCCTCCATTCCCCTCTTGGGATCTTAGGCACGCATGCACACGTGTCCGGTGTGAGTTTTAAGCCACCGGGTCCGGGATGCGAACCGCAGTCGACTACATGGGAGTCCAGCGACATTGCCATTACGCTAACTGCTGGTTCCCAAAAAATATGAGTTTCTTTTGGTGCAAAACACTTTGAAAATTCATGTACAGGGCCAGCAGGTGGCATGGTGGTTAAGGTGCTGGACTCTCACATGATCAAAACATGGTTCAAGTTCTGGACCTGGCAGCTTGCTTTCTCACTTTCCTTCTCTTTCTCTCACTGTCTCTCTCTGGTGAGTGCACATGCCCTATAGCAAATTAAAAATAATAACAAACAAAATTAAATAGCCAATTCTTTACAAATAATAAAATTCCTGCATAATTTTTTCATTATATGCGTTCTCAGTGAGCTTTTAAAGACCCTTCCTATAGAGATGAGTTTTAAAAGGTCCTGCCAAGTCATACCCAACATTTTGCATGTGGCTTCATTTTAATGGGTCATAACGCTGTTTCCTGAAATATGCCCCTGCATGTTAGGCAGAAAAATTAAGATAATATCCCTTGGAAATGCCTGAACCATAGATATGGAGTTGCAAAATAATACCAAATTGGAGGTGTTGAGAGATACGAACACCCTCTGCAGGGTTTGGTCAGTAGACAAAAAGCAATTTTTTTTTTTTTAGGTTTTTCTTGCTATAGCTGTTATTCACGTATATGAAAGTGTTTACAGAAGTGTTTTTATTCTCATCATTTCTATCTCTCTGCTGTTTGATATTGCCAAAAAATGACAATTCATTATTTATATCCCATCTGTTGTCTGCTACAGCACTAAAACCTCAAAAGTCACCAAATTCTTATGACCATGGGGTTGATCATAATGAGGTGACAGGGAGAGGCAGGAAAAGATGAAAACTATTCCATCAAATGCCTTTATAATTAAACTACCAGATCAGAGAAAAAGCAACAACCAAATTGCATTCAAGTGTATTTAAAATAATTTCTTTAGTGAAAAACTACAGCGAGTTATAACTCTGTCAAGGCAAGAAAAAAAAAACCCTTTCTCAGTGTGTTATTGACATTTAATTCATGGCACTTATCTATACGATATACACATATTGAGGGAGAGAACTATTAACCAAAGTATTAGGCAGTTCTAATGTAAAGCCAGTGTTAAGATCCATGCTTCTTAAAAGGGATCCCCAGCCCAGCAGCATCAGCAGCCCCACTGAGTCAGAGTTTGTAGCTGAATAATACCTCCAGGTGATCAGTGATCAGTAGTGGCCTGTCCCAAAGTGTGAGAAGCACGGTGTGCTTTCCCCTCCCCCATGGTTCTTCCTGACTTTCTGCTCTGTGCTCTCCCTTCTTTGCCTGGACCATCCAGTCTGATGAGTCATGTGGTGATTCATGCGCTTGCTCCTTTCCCAGGGCCTCAGAGCCCTGAATAATCTGTCCAATCTCTCTCTCTCTTTTTTTCCTATGTCAGAGGGTGGGCGTGTGCAGGAGCATGCGTGTGTGTGTGTGTGAGTGGGTATGAGAAGGAGTGAGAGAGAGAAAGCAAGCCCCAGCTGGGCCTGGGTATGCTGCAATCTTTTCCCCAGTTCTCCACCCTGGGCATATGCATGTGCCAGGCTTGTTTTTCAAGCCACTGGGGCCAGTGACTTGAACCCTGGTCAGCCATGTGAAATCCGGTTTAATCTTGCAGTGCTTAACTGCTGCATCACCAAGCCTGGCCTCTTCTCCACTTTTTACATCAGACAAATTCTCCACTCCAGTCAAATCTCCAGTTAGACTTTGGCCTCTTGGACTCTGTAACTCCCACTTTTTTTTTTTCCTCCCCTGAAACTCAACATTAAACCCTACCCGTTTCAATAAGCCAACTCTAATTAGTGTGGACACAGGGATCCCTTTCTCTCTGTACTTAGTGTTATGATTTGATTAGCAAGGCACCCTGCTTCGTTGTGACTATCTCCTTTTTATAAGCTGAGGCATAAAATAATTTAAAGCAGGTAAAGTACACTCTGCGTCCACCTTGATGATTCTGTTTGCATCTGTATATGTCAAAGTCCATCTTCTCTTGTATGCGTACCTCCTTTCTACCTCACTGCGTGGAATGCTGTTTAGGGGCAAAGACTGCCTGTTACCTCTAGGAAGACGCCCCACTGGCTAGAGCCCACCATATTGTGGTCTAAATCTTTATCATACTGTCATTCTGGATAAACACAGCTGAACTGTTTGTCCTAATGCTCTTAGGGAAGAGAATGTACCAACCCCAAAGATCAGAAGGCAAATATTTCAATTTGGCAAATGCACTGAAGGGAAAGGACATAGTGCTTCTGAGGTCCATACCCTGGTCTCCCTATAACTTTACACTTTTCGTTGTACAAAACAAACCAGGGTAAACCAAGCAGGCATTGTGCTAATTCGTCAGTCAATTAAAAATACATTACAGGGGCCTGTTTATCAATTTGTTTACTGTCCACTGCTTGTAGCTTTTGCGAATAGTACGGATGGAACATCCCCAAGGAGGGCCTGGCTCTGCAGCACAGCGGTAATGCACAGTTTAAAAGACATTGGATCCCACATGGTAACTGGTTTGAATCCCCAGCTGGGTTAGCCAGATAACATGCTGGACATAGGTGCTAAGGGCCCAAGACCCGATGGACTGGAAGACAGGAGGGATTGTAGTGTGACCAGACCCTGTGGAGGGTGTTCATTTCTCTCAATATCTCTTTCACACACATGCACATGCATGCTATCATGACTAAAGAAAAAAAGAAAAGAAAAAAGAAATGCTCCCAAGACAATACTATGTGTATTGCAGAGAAAGTCATTCATTCCTCAGCTTCAGTGTGTGCTGGCTGATCCTGACACGATGCTCAGTTAAGGCTCTACACTGATGCTTACTTTAGGTGGTCTCTTCCAAATGAGAGAAGTAGGGAAGGCAAACTGCCCTAGCCTCATGACATGGCTATACTTAAAAACAGCAGATACATTAGCACTCTTTTACTAAACAGCTTTAGTAAGAAAGTTCTCCAACAAGGCACCAAGTATCACCTGGGCTCCTAAACTGACATAAACTAACGGTGGAGAAGTTAGGTTTGTCTGTCAGTTAGTGTACTGATATACAAACCCATGTTAGAAATAGTGTATTTGGACCAGCAGATGGCATAATGGTTACGTCACTAGACTCCCACATAGTTGACTGCAGTTTGAGTCCCAGGCCTGGCGGCTGAAAACTCACACCAGGCACACGTGTGTGTGTGTGTGTGTGTGTGTGTGTGTGTCCCAAATCCCAAGAGAATGGAGAAGGGACTGTGGCATGGCCATCCCCCCGGGGGGGTGTTGATTTCTCGTTTTCTGTCACTCTGTCTGTATAGTGAGTGCACATGACCTATAGCAAAAATCTCTAAAAAAAGAAATAAATAGTGCATTTGGAGGTAGAAAAACAGAAGAAACAGTTAAAACAGCACTAGTAGTCGCGTGAAAGACCACCTATTTTACTGGTATGTTTGAACTGGATCCTTTTGTAATTACGTCTTTGGCTTAGGGAAGTTTCAATATGAAGTATATTGCTCATGAAGAAACAATTAAAGAATAGGCAGGGCTCCTAGAAATTCCCTACTAACTAAACAGAAATTCAGGAGTAAAGCTTGAGGGCCAGTGTGGAAAAATACCCTTTCTAAACCAATTTATCTCTAAATTATATTCTTTTTAGGTTTTTGCCATAGGGTGTGTGTACTCACTAGAGACAGAGAAAGGGAAAGTGAGAAATTACCCCCTTGGGATTTTGGGCATGTAGGGCACGTATGCACATGTGTCCAGACCTTCCAGATCCTGGACTCGAACTGTGGTCAGCAATGTGGGAATCCAGTACCTTAACCACCATGCCACTTGCTGGCCCCTTGAAATTATTGGGTTGTCAGAAAAGTCATGATGTATTCTTTCTGTTTTTCTATGTAAAAATGCATCATGGCATTTTTGACCACTATGTTGTTAAATGCCTTTTTAAAATAGGATGTACACTTACATGCAGCTTGAAATTATTTATTTGACAAATTCCCGTTATTTACATGTCAGCGTTTCACCAACTGCAAAAGTGAGAAAATAATTCATGGGCCTACAGTGCTTTTGAAAATATTTATGATTCATAAAAAAGTACTATACATTCATGTAATATGAAGTGAACATATTTTAATAAAGTTTGAGCCTATACAAACATTGTTTAACCTCACAAAATATATTAATTTTATTGGGAATATTTGCACTATAAAAGGGTTTTCTATTTACCAAAGGGTTCAATGCTAAGCTATTTTTAAAATGCTGTAATTTTCCAGTCTAAGGATGGGTTAAGACACACTGTACTCACACATGGCTTCCTATGTGCGACCACATGGATGAGAGGAGACCTCAGCCTTCTTCTGGAGAGGCATTCTTAAGAAGATGCTGAACTTAATAATCAAGTGGCCCTTGAGACAGGCTTCTGAATTAACAGCCAAAAAAATCCCAAGAAACAAAAAACAACCCCTCCACCCCTGAAATATGAGGGTTACTTGCATACACCTTATTGTTTCTTACACTACTCATACTGGAAAGTATGTTACAATGGTGAATAGCTGGAAAGACCTGGGAAGAGTCTCTGTAACTACTTTCTGAAACACTGGGATTCTTTTAAAGAGAAATCTACCTGTGAAGGAAAGGGGGAATTAAAAAAACTTAGCAAGTATTTAACTTGAGTTAATACACTTGCCAAGGCAAAAGCAAGTTGATGTTCTCTGTGGTTTTAGGCTATGAGAAAGTGGTGCTTCATGTTCCAGCCAGAGACTACGCACAGCCATTTCTGGGGAGGCAGATGGTGGTACAGCTGGGCTTTAGTTTTAGAGTCAAGACTCTCTTTTTCCTTCCAATTCTACCTCTTTCCTTCCTCCCAAACTCTCAGCTGGCAGGATATATATTTATTTGCATGGCTAAGTAAACATTCTAACTTATATTTTCCATGTGTTTAAAGAGTTGTCAATTTAAAATAAAATAATAATGCAAATAATTAGAACTTAAAACGCAGTTCTAATTTTATTTCTATTTTTGGTTATTAAAATCAAAACAAAACTTATGAACACACACTTCCAAATCAATTGACAGTTCTTTGGCAATGTTAAGAGTGAGTAATGACTGTCATGCTAATTAACATATTGTGTAGTCTAATTAGTGTTGAAATAGGAAAATAACTAGAAATGTATCAGAGAAGTTTGTTTGAAGACATTGTCAAATGTCAACCTTCTCAGTTTTTCTAAAAATTCTATTTAGTAAATTGAAAAATAAGCAAATTAAAATATTCTTGATAATAAATGAAATTACATGGTATCCCCCCACCCCCCAGTTATAACAAAGACAACTATTAGGTGAAAAATTTATAGACTGAAAACAGTAAAGGAATCTGGAAAATATAACAGCTTAAGGTAATTTTAGTATAAGTTAAAGAAAATAGATCAACTGTCAATTGCAACCTCACTCTGATGACCAAAAAACAAAGATATACAGAAATAGCACTGTTCTTTGAATAAGTTGAGTGTTTACATCTCTGTAATCAAACTAAGTAATCCTCTTTTTAATGTATCACATATTCTAGATATTATCAGTCACACTAAATTAACACACACACACACACACACACACACCCAAAACCTTCAATTTGATGATTCTGGGCAGAAAACTGAATACAAGGGAACTAGAGTTTTGACCAAATTTTCCATAAAGATTCATATACACCAAATTAACTAGTTCTGTTAAAAGGCAGCTATAAAAATACACATCAGCACAAGTTATACGGAACTTTAAAATCGAGTTAAGAGTAGAGAAAGACTGTAATTTCTTAATGTATCCGAAGAAGGCCGTAACCTCAAAGGTAAGAGTATTTTAGAATTCTGGCACGTTCAGTTTCTAGGGTATCGAATCTCCCCTAATTTACGGAGAGCATTTAAACAGGAGACTAATGGCCAGGAAACCTCAGAGTGGGCTCTGCCATCACACTTGATCTCGAAGGCGGGCCAGTCTTTGGGACAGTTCATCCTGCTCGGCGGAAGCCACGCTGGTGCCCACTGAGCCAGTCTGCCCCTGCGGCAGCTCCATGTTGAGGTCGAGGCCCGCCTCGTCTGCCATTTCCTGGAGGAGCATATCCACTTGGTTCTGGGGAGTGGTCAGCGTCGTTGTGCTACTCATCGTGTCCTCCATTTGCTGCGTCTGGACGTCCAGGGTCTCAAACTGGTGCTCGAATTTGTCCATCAACGCAGAGATCTTCTCCAGATTCATGGTCTTTAATGTCGCATCCATCGACTTAACCACACCGGCCATCGACTTGGTCACCTTGCCCATAGTCACCGCCGTCTGGACTCTGGCAGCCACTGCATCGACTCGCGCACTCATTCTCAAGAAATTCACCGCTTGGTTCTTCTGGCGGATGGCATTTTCCGCGTGTATCCTCGCGACTTCCATGTTGCCCTTCTGAATGGCCTTTTTAATTTTGGCCTTTTCGGCCTTTTCCTCCTTATCACATTTCTTAGCACTCCTGCTCAGTTCTTTGGCCGCGAACTTTAGGTTGAACAGGTGTTTCTCCATGTTAGACATGGCGGAACGGTTCCCTGGGGTCCGAGGCCAGGGCCTAGACTTGCGCTGAAGGCAGACGAGGGGAAGTAGGTCCGCGCTGAGCCGCCGCTCCTTTGTTTTGGTCCCACTTCCTGTTTCTGCTACGGACGGCGCAGGGTTGACGTCAGACGCCAATAGCCCCCGCCGTCGGGCCTCTGGCAGCCACTGCATCGACTCGCGCACTCATTCTCAAGAAATTCACCGCTTGGTTCTTCTGGCGGATGGCATTTTCCGCGTGTATCCTCGCGACTTCCATGTTGCCCTTCTGAATGGCCTTTTTAATTTTGGCCTTTTCGGCCTTTTCCTCCTTATCACATTTCTTAGCACTCCTGCTCAGTTCTTTGGCCGCGAACTTTAGGTTGAACAGGTGTTTCTCCATGTTAGACATGGCGGAACGGTTCCCTGGGGTCCGAGGCCAGGGCCTAGACGTGCGCTGAAGGCAGACGAGGGGAAATAGGTCCGCGCTGAGCCGCCGCTCCTTTGTTTTGGTCCCACTTCCTGTTTCTGCTACGGACGGCGCAGGGTTGACGTCAGAGCTCAGCGACAAGGGCGGGGCCGTCTAGAGGACGTCTCCGGGGGGCGGGGGCTGCGAGACAGACGACGCTGGGAGCTGGCCTCCAAGGCCGGAAGTCAGGTGTGACCTCCCCAGCTCTGAGGCCGCTACGCCGGACGGTGCCAGGACCAACCCGGGGGCTCGCTGTCTGCCTTGCGTTCGACCCAGTATTCAAAACACATAAAGCATAAATAAGCTCACAAAAATTAGTGGTGTTCACACGCACTTTCTTTGGAATGTGTCTACTGATGTGGACAGGATATGCCCAGAGTTGCTCATAAAAAAAATCCAAGCTCCAGAGGGCTAAAATGCAGTAGAACATCAACTATGTCTGCAGACTACAGCTTTGTTTACTTGCAGGGGTAATAGCTTCCACTTCCTCAGGGGAACCTGAAACCTGGAATCCTTAGTATACTTAAAAAGAAAACCAAAATCGAAAGTTGTGTGACTGACCCGTGTTTCAATCTCTGACTACAATTTGTGCTAGAGTTCTGTGATATCCTTTTATTATGAGGGTTGGAGATACCTTCTAAACCGTGGCACCACTAAATTTCTACCGCCATGGCTGGAAGTTCAGCTTGGAGGTCAGTCATCCAAAACTTGTCCTGTGGTTTAATAATAAAAAAGACCCACCTTTGGTTGACAGGATTATACCTTTTTGACATTTTTAGAAATATCTGAGGAACTTCACTCACATTAAAGTTTGACAGGCTACACTGTCATTTTTAATCACACAGCATGGTAAGGCATTGGGACCCACACCCACCAGCGTACATCAAAACTGTCACTGTGGATTATACCCTTTAAAAGTGCAGGCTTTCAAATGGCACAAATGTGTGCTGTCACTTTCTTCTCTGCAAAGATTCCTCCGATACAGCTGTAACACATATAGGAGGGCCCGATTTGCCCTACTGAGCTAAGCTGAAAACGGACACTGAAAGCTTTTTCTGTTTAGAGATCATCTTGATCTGGAGCCTCACCACTCTCGGCTTCCCTGGATATTTTCCCAATCAGTCTTGCAACACACATTGTAGGGGCATCAGTACCACATGCATCTTCTTAAAACACAGTGCTGATGGTGTCACTCTCTTGCTCTAAAACCTGGAGTACAGGTCAACACCAATATGCTACATGCTGGCTCCTTTCTCTTATACTCTCCTGACATTCAATACAGACTGTGGCATGGAGGTCGAACATCAGTTGTAGCTTTCGACCAATGTGGAGAATGAGGTTTGCTGTTCTTCCTTTTGTGTAACACTTCCTGTTGCCTGGATTTACTGTCTACGTGTCTCTATTGAGATTCCGCCATCTTTCAAAAGCCATCTTCTGCAGGAAACCTTCCCAGGACTGCCTCCTCTATTGCTGCTCTATTCTGTTCTGGTACCACCCACAGAACAGGGCGTATGGCTTGGCATGGGGTCCGAGCGTAGAGTCACGTCTTACAGTATGAACTACGTGGACGCAGAAAACATTCTCACTCTTCTTCTCCCAGAGAACCAGCAAGTGTTCCGCATGCAGCAGACAAGACTATGTTGAACTTTATTGTAGTTGAGAGGGGCTGGTCTCAGAGGTGGGTAGGTAGCAGGTTAGATTAGGATTCCTTTTTCTTGCATAAAGCAGTAGAGCCCTTTCTTCAAATGAAACTTTTCTACAAATGGAATATATAGAATAAGAAGGCAAGAATCTATTCAAACGGGATAGAGGGTCTAAGCCCCCTTCTGTGTTCACCACTCATCCTCCAATGTCCTTCTTTTGGGCCCCTGGATTTTCTTTCAGTTTGCAAGTCAGTTCCTTGTTCACATTTCATGCCATGCCATAGTTTTCTCAATGACTGATTATACTTAGTTGAGATGGTTTGGAATATAACAATAAGAAACTTTGATAGATGATAATGGTAACCAACATTTATTAAGTACTTATGTGTCAGGCATTGTTCTGAGCGTTGTACATAAATTAACTCATTTGATCCTTACAAACTCTATGAGGTAGATGCTATTAATATCTCCAGCTTACAGACATGGACATCAAAGAACAGAAAACTAACTTGCCCAAGACCAAAAGTAAAGATCAGAAATAGGATTCTGTGGCTATATTGGGGGACCAGTAATAAAAGAATGAAGAATCCAATAAGGAGAAGTTAGTAAGAACTAAAGAGTGATGACTAGCAAAACAAATAAACAAAAAACCCTGACTGGGACTACAGACAGCATAATGGCTATGTTGCTGGACTCCCATGTAGTCGACCATGGTTCGAGTCCTGGTGGCTTAAACTCACACTGGGCATGTGTGTGTGCGTGCCTAAGACCCCAAGAGGAGAATGGAGGAGAAGGGATTGTGGCATGGCCATCCCCTCTGGGGGGTGATTTCTCACTTTTTGTCTGTCTTTCTGGTGATCACACGTGCCCTATAGCAAAAACCTCTCCAAACAAACAAACCAAACCAAACCAAACCAAAAACCCTGACTAAGTAGTTGTCCTTTATGAAAAGATTGAGGAGTTGCATTGACTTAGAGGTGACTATGAGCTAAACTGTGGTTGCTAAAAGAAATTAACATTGCCCAAAACTACATGCACTTGATGATGGCAGGTCTCCTCTGTGAGCTGGACAGACAATGCCTACAGAATGGGCTGGAGTTCCAAGGAGCCCTATGTATAGAGAAGACCATGGCAGACCAGAATGTGGAAGAGAAGGCTGGCTGCCCCTTCCCTTTCTGAGCAACTCCAGGCCCTGCTCTCTTTCTCTTTTTGACACGTCCAGCCTTTCCCACAGTGCTCAATAGGACCACTCACCATGCTCACTTTCATACCTAGAGTATGTTTTCCCTCTAAGATTCACACTCATACCCAGTTGTCTCCTTGACACTGGATCATTCGTACTGCAAGACAATTTGGCAACTCCTCAAAGCGACGTCCCCTAGATCTTCTCATTCACCCTCAGGTACTAAAAGCACCTCCATCCACTCAGTTGTTCAAGTCAGAATCTCAGGAGTCATTCTTAACCCGTTACCTACATGTATATCTAACCCATTTCTAAGTTTTTCACAGTCTTTACATTCTATCAAGGGTGACAGCCTTCAGGGTCTGTTTCAGATTGCATGCTTTCCTTTTATTATATCCAGCAAAGGGAGATTCTTTTGGGGTTATTATCAAAGGAGATTTTGCTCCTATGATAATTGTTATTGTGCTTGAGGACCTTCCAGAGCCAACATAGGTGAGAAAAAACAATCTAGGAGACAGTTTATAACGACTACAACACTTGCAGCTTCTGCACTAACACTGCAACTTACAACACCTTACATTCTAAACTGTATGGTTTTTTTCTTAGTGAAGAGAAAGAAAATTTTTGTTACACTGCAGTCATTTCTAGCTGTGAATCAAATCAGTTAATTTTATTATAAAATGAGGAAGAAAAATATGCCACAATCTGGCACAAGCGTCCTATTTCTTTTACTTCCTTACTTTGAACTAATACAAGTAGTTAAACTTGAGAGAGTTAAGCAGGACATATGGTTTGCTTTTAGTGGGAAAGACATTTGTTAGCTGTAAAGATACAAAAAAGGGAAGCAAGTAAAATATATAAAAACATGATTATGTGTGTTAAAATATTCCTGGATTCTCACAGTTGTGTTTCCAGTGGCTTTGAACAGTTAGAGCGCAACTTCTCTCTCAGAGCTCCTCCTCACTTATCGCTATCTAGGTGTATGGGCTCAGCAGCAGGCTTCCTATCAGATCTGGCATGGTGATGTTTTGCTTTACTTTCTGCACCTGGTACTAGTCAACCTTGGAACACAACAGATGCTCAATAAATTTCTGTTGCATGTATGAATATATGCATGGAGCCAAAGGTATATTTTAGGTATATTACTTTGTGTATATACATAAGTGTGTGTGTGTGTAAAATCATATATGTAATTTTTTTCTCTCTGTCACTTTTAAATTTAGGAACACAGCTATAGTTCAAAACTTTGAGACTCCCCAAACTTTGGGAAATTCAAAGCCACTGTTATCCAAATTAAGTTCCTGTCAAAATTTAAAAATGAAAACAGGAGGCTGAGCCAAGGTGAGGTGGGTGGTGGAGCACCACTCTGCAATGCCAGAGCCACATGGAAGACACAGTTTGGATCTTGGTTGACTTGAAACATTCAGATATGTCTGTGACCCTGGGTGGCTGCAAGGATTGGGGGAGGTGGGGGAAAGGCTGTGGAGTGATAAGACCTTGTCAAGGGTACCTACGTCTTTTTCTCTCTTAAAATAAACCTTAAAAAATAAAAACAAGAAACAGAAGGAAGTAAAGTAGCAAAGAAGAATTCTGTAGTTTAAATGCATAATTTATTATTCCTCAGGGAGGTATGGCGAATTAATACTGAAAAGCAACTTCCACATGTCCTGAGAGTTATTTTGATGTCTACTATTATAGTAACAGGGCTGCTCCTTTCTACATTGGACAACTCTCCAATCTGGTGACAGATGAAATCTAAATACTCTTGTCTTTCTAGAGATAGTACAGGATTTCTTTGGTCACCAACTAAAGTGATGACCATCTTGCTAC